CTGGGTGTCCATCAACCACATGGTGGTGAGATCTCCCCACAGCTCTGTCTCTCCTGGGCATTCAAAGGGCTCTCTTCTGCCTGAGTGGTGGGATGACCACAGGGGGCAAGAGGTGGGGGATGCTGGAGAGGTCGATGTCCAAGAGAGAAGACAGGAGTGAGGTGGTGGGGAAATGAGAGGAGAGGGGAGAGAGACCCAGAGGAAGTGTTTGTGTGTTGGAGGGAGAAGACAGGGAAGAAAGCCTACGCAGAAATTGAGGCCCTCAAGCTGCAAATGAGGCCCCTTCTGCCTCAGGGCTCCCCAGAGTCAAACCTAAGTGCCTCCTTGGAGGTAGATCTGAAATGAAGGGGGCAGGTAGAAGGACTGAGAGAGAGAGAGAGAGAGAGAATGAGAGAAAGGGCCAGGGGGAGAACAAGGCTCTGAGGGCCCTCTGCCCAGCTGTGCAATCCTTTGTCCTCCAGAACCACTCGTGGGGCCGCCAGTACTCCCACGCCCTGTTCAAGGCCATGAGCCACATGCTGTGCATCGGCTATGGGCAGCAGGCACCTGTCGGCATGCCTGACGTCTGGCTCACCATGCTCAGCATGATTGTGGGCGCCACCTGCTATGCCATGTTCATTGGCCATGCCACTGCCCTCATCCAGTCCTTGGACTCCTCCCGACGTCAGTACCAAGAGAAGGTCAGCAGGGACAGGAGAAGGAAGGGGAGGGCATGAAGGGGTGCTGGAGGCTGGGTAGCTGAACTTGAGGCCCATTCTGACGCATACCCTTGTTGGTTCTGTGTCCTTCCTTGCCCAATGTTCATTTGTCCCGTGCCCCTGTGTGTACCTTTTTTTTTGTTTGGACCTATACCCCTGTCCTTGGGCCCCTCCTCTGCCTGTGACTGTGCTTTGTGTCCTCCCTGTGTCCACCATCATCCATCTGTCCTTCTGTGGCCCCGTGTGTCTCCTTCTGTCTCCATGTTTCACTTTTCTGAGTGTGGCCCATGTCTGTGACCTCCCTCCATTTGCACCTGCCTCCACTGTTCTGGCCCCGCATCTGCCTCTGTGTCCTCTTGCCTGCTGGCCACTGGCTGGCCCTGCAGTACAAGCAGGTGGAGCAGTACATGTCCTTCCACAAGCTGCCAGCTGACACGCGGCAGCGCATCCACGAGTACTATGAGCACCGCTACCAGGGCAAGATGTTTGATGAGGAGAGCATCCTCGGCGAGCTGAGTGAGCCGCTGCGGGAGGTAGGACTGAGCGGGGCCCTGGTGGCTCGTCAAGGACATGGGCTTCTAGGATGCCACCTGGGGTGGAAGATACTGGTCAGCAGAGGGCCCCATGGGAGACCAGGCTTTGGGGAACTTCCAGGGGTGAAGTTCTTTCTTGAAGTTCTTTAAAACATTTTTTTTTACTAATTGATTTGAGACAGACAGACAGATAGACCGGTTGTTCCACTTACTTACGCATTCGTTGGTTGATTCTTGTGCGCGCCCTGACCGGGGATAGAATCCAAAACCATGGTGCATCGTGACATCAGTCTAAGCAACTGAGCTACATGGCCAGGGCCTTGGACTTCTTATGAGGGTGAAGTGTACATGGGAAGGGGCATCAAGGATCTGTTTTTGTGGGGATGGTCCTTCAAGGGCTCATGGGAGCACTCTGACGGCAGGAGCTTAGGGATAGTCCCAGGCCCCCAGAAGCATCCGCATCCTTGCATATCATGACCCCGGGTGGGACCTCTGGAGCCAGATGAGCTCGATGAGGGCACCTTGGGGCAGGGGGTGCAGCCTGTCTGACAGGCCCCTCCCCTTCCCAGGAGATCATTAACTTCACCTGCAGGGGCCTGGTGGCCCACATGCCGCTGTTCGCCCATGCCGACCCCAGCTTCGTCACGGCGGTGCTCACCAAGCTGCGCTTTGAGGTCTTCCAGCCGGGGGACCTCGTGGTGCGTGAGGGCTCTGTGGGCAGGAAGATGTACTTCATCCAGCACGGGCTGCTCAGCGTGCTGGCACGTGGTGCCCGGGACACCCGCCTCACTGATGGATCCTACTTTGGGGGTCAGCAGGCCTCAGGAAGGGCGGGAGGGACTGGAGCAGAGGATGAGGGCAAATGCTCCCCTGGATCAGGGTCCCTGCCTGGGCATGCTGCAGAGTCACAGAGTTCCAGTGCCACCCCAGGCTGACTTAATCAGAATCTCGGGGCCTGGGGCCTGGGGCTCTGTAATTTTAAGAAGCTTCTTAAGAGATTCCAGAGCAGAACCAGGTTGAAAATTTCTGAGCCAGTGGGCCTTTTAGAACCCATAATTCGTGAGCTCCAAAGATCCCATGAGGGACAGAGAGTAATAAAGCAGTGCTGTCCCCGGGGCTCCCTGGTGGTGTGATTCAGGGCCCCAGCCTATTGCACTGGGGGTAGTTCCACCAGCTGTTGCCTAAGGTGATTTGAAGCTCATAAAATCTCTCAGTCTCCAAACCACCCAACACCCTCCAGCATTTCCGTAGAGTTGCCCTTTGCCCTGTGGCACTGCTTTTCTCCTTCTGGGCTGTCCTTGGTGTTCGTTTGAAGGGGTGCTTCCCCAAGCCTACCCCTTGGGACAGAGCAGCGGAGGTGGGTGGAAATTAGAGTGGAGTGGAATGGCTGGGGGCGGGGCCAGCGAGACCTGCTTGAGTGTCAGCTTAAACTTCGAGAGTGAGGACGGTAACTGTGCAGGTCTGGAGAGTGGCAGGCTTGCGGGGCTTGGAGCATTCAGGGACCCCGGGGTGGGTGAGTAAACACTAGTTTCTCCCACCTGGGGAGGAGCCAGAGGATGCTGGGCCAGCTGCTGCAGGCCTGGTGAGAGGGCGTTCTGGGGACAGCGGTTCTGAAGGCCTCCTCCCAAATTTGGCAGAGATCTGTCTCCTGACTCGGGGCCGGCGCACAGCCAGCGTGCGAGCTGACACCTACTGTCGCCTCTACTCACTCAGCGTGGACCATTTCAACGCTGTGCTCGAGGAGTTCCCCATGATGCGCCGGGCCTTCGAGACCGTGGCCCTGGACCGACTGCGCCGCATCGGTGAGGCCTGTCTGCCGGGCCTTCTCTGGGTCCAACCTGGGCCCTCACCCGCATCCACAGCAAGAAGCCCCTGTTGTCCCAGGGCCCATGCTCTCCCACTCCAGTGTCCTGCCCCGGCCCACCCCAGTCCCAGTAAATGCCCCCAGAGGCCCTTCAGTGCTGTGGCTCACTGCCCTTGCAACTCAGCATGTCTTACCCCGGAGAGATCGCCCCACGTCCACATGCCCCGAGCCCTCCTTCCCTAAGCCCCTGACCTTCACCACCTGTGATACACACTCATCCCCTGACCCTCTTCCTGCACCTGCGTCTGCCCACCTCCACCTCCACGCTCTTGGCCCTTATCCCTTCCTTCGCCCACTGCCATCGCTTGACCTTCCAGTTCTTTGACATTCAATCTTTATCTTTGATTCCTTCACTATCCTTCCCTTCTCCCTCTTGGGACAACCTCTAGGTAAGAAGAATTCCATACTGCAGCGGAAGCGCTCCGAGCCAAGTCCTGGCAGCAGCGGCGGCATCATGGAGCAGCACTTGGTGCAGCATGACAGGGATATGGCTCGGGGTGTTCAGGGCCTGGCCCCGGGCACAGGAGCGCGGCTCAGCGGAAAGCCAGTGCTGTGGGAGCCGCTGGTGCATGTACCCCTGCAAGCAGCCGCTGTGACCTCCAATGTGGCCATTGCCCTAACTCACCAGCGGGGACCCCTGCCCCTCTCCCCAGACTCTCCAGCCACCCTCCTTGCTCGCTCTGCGAGGTGCTCATCAGGCTCCCCAGCTTCTCCACTGGTGCCTGTCCGACCTGGCCCTCTGCTGGTCCGAGGGCCGTGGGCATCCACCTCCCGCCTGCCTGCCCCACCTGCCAGAACTCTCCATGCTAGCCTGTCCCAGGCTGGGCGCTCCCAGGTGTCCCTGCTGGGCTCCACCCCGGGAGGAGGTGGGCGGCGACTAGGACCTCGGGGCCGCCCACTCTCAGCCTCCCAGCCCTCTCTGCCTCAGCGGGCAGTAGGTGATGGCTCTCCTGGGCGTAAGGGCTCAGGAAGTGAGCGACTGGCCCCATCAGGGCTCCTCACCAATCCTCCAGGGACAGCCCAGACCCCTAGGCCACCAGTGCCTGGGCCAGCCACCCCTAGAGGCCCCCAGCTCTCTGCCAACATGTGAAACCCTTAGGTAATTCCTCGAGTGCAGCAGTGTGTGCCTGAAGGCAGATGCCTCCTGGGAAGGCCAAGGGGGCCCGAAACACTGCCCTATGGGAATATCTCCCCTTACTGCCAAGAAGATAGTTTCCGTCCTCTCAGGCCCCTGCTGCCTCCTGACCCATTTGCCCATTCATCAGATGAGCTGAGCGCCTACCACATTCAAGGCACCGTGGTAATACTGTGTCTCCACTGCCAAATAGAAGAGACTAAGCGCTCTGACAAAGGTATTCCCCCTGCCACAGTCCTGCCAGGTGCAGGCCCGGGCTCATGATTCCACCTTATTAAGCACAAGTACTTGCCATTGCCATCACTGCCGAGTAATTAGATGTCTGTTTCCTGGCCCGGGCCTGCAGGCTCCGTAGGCTCCGCCCGGAGCGGTTACCTCCCAGTCCTCCCAGCACAGCCGGCGAGTTGCCCATGCCCATTGCTGTCCACAGATGTTTGGGGCCCCCAGTGTGGGCATCCGCCTTCACTGCTGTGTGTAGGCCCCTCCCTGTCTACGTCCTCTGAGTGGGAACATGTCTCCTGCCAAGTCCCCTCCACTCCGTCTCTGGTAGACTGTCTCTCTGTGAACCGGGAGCCACCTCCTCCCTGTGTCCCTGCCCCAGTGTGTCCTCCCGGAAGCTAAGGGACGTTTGGCACCTCCTCATTTGGTGTGCCAGCCTAGAACCCCCAGGAGAGGGGCAAGTGGCTAAATCCTTAGATGGCATGTTTTTTCTTTCCTTCCTGTCCTTTTTTATTTATTCAATTATTTAATAATTATATTTATTCATTTGCTAATTTTATTTATTATCAATGCATTTTATTGACCAATTTCTTTTTCCACCCCCTCCCATCCCCTCCCAGTAGGGAGCCAGGAAGGGGCAACGCCCCTCCCCCACACCAGTTCCCGTGGTCCTGGTCCAGCCCCAACAGCAGCAATACTGGGACCCTGTTCCTGTTTAGGTCGGGGCCGAAGGGCCACCTGAGGCAGGGGAGGTGGGGGATGTTTTAGTTTCTTTTCCCTGCTGAGTTTGCTGTTGGTGCTAGAGTAAGGTGAGGGCCCAAGGTACCTGAGCCTAGGAAAGGGCAGGCTAGCCAGTGCCCCGCCTTCTCAGGGACAACAGAACCCCTCCCCCACCCTCTGTTGCCATGCCGACTGTACAGCATCAAAGAATGTGGGGCCGGGACCCCAAAGCTCATTTTTCTTCTGGGTGTGGAGTTCTGGAATACGAGGTATGTGGGGAAAGTTTTATAATTGCTTCCAAATAGCTGGGTTTAAAAAAAGAAAATAGAGACACTCATTTCGGCTCCTGGTTTGCGTGCGGGCACAGAGAAGGAATTTCTGGGTGCAGGAGAAGGCGCCTCGCCCCACAAGACAGGAGATGGCCCTGGGAGCGGCCGGAAAGTGGTCCGCAGTCCCAGGCGAAGCTGCGAAGACAGTGACAGGCTGTGCTCCCCAGTATCCATCCGCCCTGCCTTGCCCCAGAGGGCGGCGCTTTGACATCACTATTAGCTCTAATGAGGGAAGAAGTGGCACCGTCCTTGGGAGAGAGATTACCCAGAAGGCCACGTACAAGAACGCCAGACTGCATGTGGATCTGAAATATTTCTAAAATAGTGGTTTTGTGGAGGTTGGACACGACTGCCCTGTTCTCCTCTCCCCCACCTCCAGGTGTGGGAAGCCTGGGGAAATAGAATTAACCAGTTAAGCTGGGATTAAAGGCTCAGAGCATCTTAGGGTCCAGCTGAGAGCATTGGGTGGGAGCACTGGGTGCGCCACTGGAGCTGCCAGATGGCCAGACTCTGAGGGCCTGCGTGGCGAGGGGGAAGGGGCACCGTGGAATGTGGCTAGATGGCAGACGTGGCCTCAGGTGGGGAGGACTGGGAGCAGACAAGACAGATGAAGGGTGTGGGTGGCGTGGGGAGGAGGGATGGGGTCCAGAGCTGGCTGGTTCCGAGGGGGAGGGGCATCTCAGGACACACTCAGCACTCGCATGATGTTGGTATAGCCAGAGCCAGGTCGCCAGCCTGTCACCACAATCACCAGGTCTCCAACGTGGAGTAAGCCACGAAGCTTTCCTGGGGTAGGGGAAGAAGATAACCATCAGCCACTGAGAGACCCAGGCCAGCCCTATAATGAGAACCAGCCACCACCTTCTACTCCCTCAGGGCCACCCTCCCTGCAGGGGCCTGAGGCAAACTGTGTCATGTGTACCACAGGTAGCGCCACAAGAAATGTGACCACTGCATTATTATCAGAACTACAGGTATGTCCATGGATGGCACGGGGCGGGGGGTCGCTGAGCAGCAAGTCTGTGCACCTGTGTTGCTAGGCCAGCAGGAAGAGGCAGGGCATGATCATAGCCAGTTTCAAAACAGATTTTCATTTCGGCTGCAGGGGACTAGGTCCGCTTTCTCCTTTCACCTCCTGCTCCTTACGTCACACTCAGGCACACACCCTGGTGCAGGCGACAGCTGGGCTGACTTCTTGGAAAAGGCCTTGACCTCTTTCCCTCTACCATCTTCCCCTCCGCATGCCCCATGGAGGCCAAAACATCTCTGAGTGTTTGTGAGCCTCACAGAGTAAATCCGGGACCAGAGGACAGAGGCAAAGCCCTTTGTGCGGGTATGGAAAGTGGTGGGGGGTCGTGATACAAACCCAGGGTGGGTGCGGAGGAAGTCTAGAGGACTCACCACTTTCAATGCCATATTGAACCCGGTGATCCACATCATCTGCCCAGATGGCCTCTGGAGGTTCACGGTAGAGCAAGGGAAAGACTCCTCGGCATAGGTGGGCCTGGCGGGCAGCCTGGGCAGAGCGGGTGACAGCGATGACCGCTGCCCGAGGTCGGTACCGAGACAGAAGCTGGGCTGAGCTGAAGGAGGCAGAGAAGGTCAGCCCGGAGAGTGAGAGAGCGCCGAGTCAGGAAACTAGAGTTTGGGTTCTGGTTCCAGTTGTCGGCGCCAAGCTGTGTGACCCAAGTCAGGTAAATCATATTTTTCTGGGCCTTGGTTTTTCTAGCCTGTTAAGTGGGTATAAGAATACTCCCCTTTCTTACAACACAAGAAAGATATAATGAAGGGTACATCAAATGAAGTAGTAACGAAAAACTTCTTTGAGAAACAAAACCTTTCTGAGGAGGTACCTATACACGGTACTTACCTTAAACACGTCTCTGGTTAATCCTCACAGGCCCACGAGGACGCCTGTAGAGCCTGGGCAACCTACCCAAGGTGTCATTTCAGAGCAAAGACTTGAACTCAGACCTTCTGGGCCCTTCTGCAACACCTCAGCAGGGTAAGGCTTTGTGGGCCAAATGCAAAGGACTTGCTTCTGAGCCCAGGAGCCTGAATGGCCTGGAAGCCAATGTGTCCAGTGATGTGCCTCCCCCTTCAACTGGCGCAGTCCCTGTGTGCCCCAGGTCCACCTCTCCCAGCCCCACCCCGGATCTTACAGCTACCTCTCCTCTTGCCCCAGAATAATATTTTTCATCTCCAGTGACAAAACATAACCCAAGCCTGTGACCCACCCCCACCTGCCCCTGACCCAAAGGCTTGTCTTGGTGCTCACGGAGTCCCTCTCACCGGCCAGTCGTGGTCAGCACGATGATGGCCGAAGCACAGCACTTGAAGGAAGCCTCCACAGCGCCGATGGCAGTGACTTCAGTGGGATCACGGCTCAGCGGTGCTACGCGGCGCAGCTCCTCAAACAGCTGCTGGTGGTAGACTGCGGCCTCTGCCTCCCGGGCAATCTGCAGGCACCAGGAGGTCAGGCTTGGGCAGGGGCACTGGCGCTTGCAGGGGTTTGGCTGTCCAACCCATCTGCCTTGCATTATGAGCTCCTACCGCGTGCTGCATCCTTACGGCCTCCACGGGAAATCTGCCTTTGGCAGTTTCCCCCGACAGCATGATGCAGTCTGCACCATCCAGCACAGCGTTGGCCACGTCACTCGTCTCTGCCCGTGTCGGCCGGGGCTTACTGATCATGCTCTCCAGCATCTGGGGGACAGCTGGATGTCAGAGCTGTGGGAGCCACACTCCGATCAGGGAAGCTACTTCTCTGACATCCACACTCTCAGAGTGCCCTGAAAGCCAGGGTCACAGGCACAAACTGTGTCCTTATCTGAAAATGGGGGTCCCACTATCTCTCCCTAACTTCGTTGCTTGAGGATCGAACACTGGACCGCAAAATGTGCTAGAGACCTGAGGTGCAGGTGTTCACCCTCAGGTGGCCCCCAAAGCCACAAAGAGCCCCCGCCCTCTTCAGGCTCACTCCAGACCTGTGTGGCACAGACAACTGGTTTGCCGGCCAAGTTGCAACGTCCAATCATCATCTTCTGAGCTAGGAAAACCTTCTCCGCTGGGATCTCGATGCCCAGATCACCCCGTGCCACCATGATGCCGTCGCTCACTTCCAGGATTTCATCAAACCTGGGTGGTGGGGGAGGTCAGGGCTGGGGAAGAACCGGGAGAAGCCAGGGAAAGGAGACGGGAGAAGAGGAGGAGCTACGGGGCTGTTAAGGGCCTGATAGGGAACAAAGGCCAAGCCTCACTTCTTCACGCCTTCGTGGTTCTCGATTTTGCTAATGATCTTGATGGCCTGTCCTTCTGGCCCCAGAGCAGCTCGGACCGCAGCCACATCGCTGGCTTTCCGCACGAAGGAGGCAAAGATGATGTCTACGCCATGCTCCACCCCAAAGCGCAGGTCCCGGGCGTCTTGCTCGGACAGCCCTGGCAGGTCCACCTGGGCGCCCGGCAGGTTCACGCCCTTCCGGCTGCCCAGGACGCCGCCGTTCTCCACCTCGGTCTCCAGCCCCTCTGGGCCTGTGGGCACGGAGAGAGCCAGCCGAGGGTCAGGGGTGAGGTCGGGAGCAGAGCCGCGGCGCAGGGAACAGGGGCTTGGACCCCGCAAGGGATTAGGAACCACGTCCCATTCTGTTCGTCCGTCTGCCCTCGGCCTGGGCTCCACACTGAACGGGCACGGGGCGGGGGGGGCGGACTTCTGTGGAAGAAACGGCTGCCCCGCCAGTCCAGCCCCAAGCCAGGGTGAGCCCAGGAGTCTGGATGCTGGGGGCCCCTGGGACTAGGACGCCGGCGGGGTGGGGGCGGGTGTTCGCGGCCGACGCGGGAGCCCGAGGGGAGAGCGCGCGCCCAGCTGGGCGCTGCGGGGGCGGGAGGCGCGTCCGCACCGATTTTCCTGACCACGAGGGAGATGAGCCCGTCGTCGATGTAGATGCGGCCCCCCACCGGCACGACCCTGAGGATGTTGGGGTAGTCCACCCACACGGTGTTCGCGTCTCCTCGCGTCTGGAACGTCGGGTCCACGGTCACCAGCACCTGGGAGCCCTTCACTAGCTCCACTTCCGACTCCGGGCCCTGCGGGCAGAGCCAGGGGTCCGGAGTTCGGCCCCTCCCTACGCCCCACGCCCTGGGCGTCTGCTGCCACCCCCCACCCCGCGCGCCCTGCAGCCCCCGGCTGGCCCCCGCCGACTGGACACGACGGGACCGCCTCTCACCCCCTGCAGGATCCCGGTGCGAATCTCCGGTCCTTTGGTGTCCAAAGCGATGGCCACCGGTCGGTAGCCGAGCGGGGAAGTTGCGAAGCTCTCCACCGCCTTTCGGACATTGGCGATGGACTCAGCGTGGTACTGGTGGCAGAACCGATGGAGATTTCAAGGGAGGGTGGCCACGACCTCGGGGCATCCTCTAACCCCGTCGCCTCCTGTGGCCCCTTCCCGAACCTCATGTGAGCCGTGGGAGAAGTTGAGTCGAGCAATGTTCATCCCGGCCTTGATCATCTCCTTGAGGCGCTCTACGGAGCGAGATGCCGGCCCTGGAACCAGAGATTTCCCTCAGACAACTTGCTCCCCAAACCTGAGAGACAACCGGACCCACCACCACCCTCTGAGACACCGCATGCCACAGAAGTCTTGCTACCTGACCTTTACTCCCTGACCAACCTCTGCTCACAAGTCAGAAACCACATTCCTCTCAGCAGCCCACACCTTGGGAGGCAGCCCTATGTGGAGGAGGAGGCACTTGGAAGGGAGGGTCCTCAGCCAGGTCCCAGTGAGGTAACCCTGTCTGCAGTGAAGTAAGCGCTGCAGTTTGGGGGTAACCCCAGTGTGTGAGCCAGGCACAGCAGGGGATGGGTACGGGGCTGTAGAGCTGATAGGCCTCATTCTGCCTGAGGAGAATTGAGTTGGACCCCATTTCTGCTTGTTGACAGGACAGCTGTGTAACTGAGAGCCAAGCTCTCCAGCCCCTACCTAAAGCCAATTCTTTCTTCCCTCTTCAAGAGAGGGAGGGAAACATCAATGTGCGAGAGACCCGGCCCACAACCCAGGCACGTGCCCTGACTGGGAATTGAACCACGACCTTTCAGGTCACAGGCGGGCATTCAGTCCATTGAGCCACACCAACCAGAGCTAAAGCCAATTCTTTTTTTCCCTTTTATTGATTCTGGAGAGAGAGGAAGGGAGGGAGAAAGAGAAAGAGAGAGAATCATAGATGTGAGAGAGAAACATCCATCCATCACTTCTTGCACTCACCCTGACTAGGGACTGAACCCCTAACCCGGGCATGTGCCCTGATCAGGAATCAAACCACGACCTTTTGATTTGCTGGATGACACCCAACCAGCTGAGTCACACCAGCCGAGGCTAAAGCCATGTCTTGTACTTGCACTTAGACCTCCTCCTGCTCACCTGCTCAAAGACAGATTCAGCCACTCTCCAGTCCTCTATGTCATCAGGGTTTTCCTTTTAAGTGGATCATTCTCATTGGCATGCAAACCTGCTGCTATTTCTTCCATCAAAAAAATTCTCTTATTCCCAATTCCCCCTCCAGCTGTAGTCCCATTTCTTTGCTCTCTTTTGCAGCAGAAGTTGTGAGAGCTTTCTGCCCTGGCTGCCTCCAGTCCCCCACCCTGTATTCTTTGTACCCACTCCAGTCAGGTGTCCACAGCCCCCGCCCCCTCCACTGCCTCTGCCCTTGTCAAGGTCACCAAGAATCTCAGTGTTGTTGCTAAATCTAATGGCCAATTCTCTGTCCTTATCTTGGCTGGCCTGTCAGCAGCACTGAGTATGTGTCCTTGACGTGCCTTCCTTCCTTGTCCTCTGGGACACCACGCTCTGGATGCGCTCTTGCCTCACGGGCTCTCCTTCTCAGCCTCACTTGCTCCTCCCTGCCCTTAACGTTAGATGTCCCATTCTCTCTGTCATTTCACTTTCACTCCGTCAATGGTCTCGACTAGTTTTATGGCTTTGAATACCATCTATAAGCTGACAACTTCTATCTCCAATTTTGTTTCCCAAATTTATATCTTCAGTTCAGACCTCTCTTCCACGCCCAGAGCTGTGTACTTGATTGCCTATTCTGTGTCGCAGTTGAGTGTCTAACATACATGTCAAAGTCACCTTTCCCCAAACTGAACACCTTCTCTCCTACCCCCAGCTCTCCACAACAGTCTTTCCTGCTCAGCTGATAACGCATCCTTCTAGTCCTCGAACCTAAAACCTTGGCGTCATCCTTGACTCCTTTTTCACCCTCACCCTACCCTACATTCAATCTGTTGGGAAATCCTTCAAAATGCATTCAGAATCTGACCACATCTTTTTTTAATTTAAATTTTATTTTTTAATTACAGTTTACATTCAGTAGGATCTGATGACTTCTCACCCCTCCACTGCCACTACCTGGTTTGACCTAGAAATACTGCAGGAGCAGCTTCTGCGCCTCCTTCCAAACTCACCTCTGATCTATTTTCAATATAGCAGCCAGAGTGGTTCTCTGAAAACGTAAGTAAGAGCGTGTTGTTTCCCTGCACGAAACTCTCCCGTAGTTTTCCATTTTAGTTGGAGGAACCCAACTCAAATTCTAAAAATTCTACCAAGTCCTACATGATCTTACCCTCCCCTGAAATCTCTATTTTTTCCCTACTCTTCTGTCCCTTGATGGTTTCTCACCATCCCAGCCTTCTTGACTTGGGGTCTTTGCGCCAATTGTTCCCTGTGCCTGGAGCTCTCTTCCCTACACACTTGCATCCGTCATTCTCTCATCTCCTCCACATCTTCGCTCAGGTCTGACTTTCAAAATAGTGGCTTCTCTGATTGTCTCCGACGGTAGGACTGCAGACTGCCTCCTGCCCTGGCATCTTTGATGACCTTCAGCATGCTCTATTGTTTTTTCTTTCATAGTATTAATCATTTTCTCTTATTTTGAGTATTATTGTTATTTTTATCCTCACCCAAAGACCTTTTTCATTGCTTTCAGAGAGAGAGGAAGGGAGAAGGAACATCGATATGAGAGAGAAACATCAACTGGTTGCCTCCTGTGTGCTCCTTGACTGGATGTTGGACCTGCAACCTTTTGGTTGCTGGATACTCCAACCAACTGAGCCATACCAGCCAGGTCAAAAGAAGGGGGCACCCAGAAAAACCAGAATGATCTTCTGGATGGTGGTTCCCTTGTAGTACCAACTCCCCCTGCTGGGTGAGTGAGTGTTCTAGGAACACATTTGTATTGGTGCACCACCAGGTGTTGTTAGGACAGACTGTGTTCGGCTTTAGTGAATTTTTCTGAAGACTCTTTCAACACATTTGCCCATTTCACGATGGGGGATTTACAAGTGCACCTGCCCTCACCGCGCTGAGTGTTCAGCAGTTTTTGACCAAAAAACAGCATGACCCCCGTGCCCCACCCTCCCTATTCACCCAGTCTCGCCTTCAGCTACTTTTTTTGTTTCTCTGGATGAAAAATGTCCTCAGAGGGAAACGTTTTGCTGGTGTGGAAGAGACAAAACAAACAAATGGCAGAAGCACTTAAAAGGCATCAAAATCAAAGAGTTCAAAACCCGTTTTGAGCAGTGGAGAAAACGTCTTGATAGGTGTGTTGTATCAAATGGAGAGAACTTTGAAGGTGATTGAATTAAACATGTAAGAATAAATGCACAATTTTTAAATAAATAAATTATATTTTTTGGGTCTCCCCTCTTATTTATCACTTTCTAACATATTAAGTAATTTAGTGTGCTTATTATTTATTATCTCAGCTGGCTAGATTGTCAGCTCCCCAAGAGGAGTGATTTTTGTTCATTTCACTGACCTGCTACTCCCAGGGCCCAAGACCTTATCTCCCAAGTGCTCGACAAATATTTGCAGAATGACACCCTGCCCCGTGTGGCTCCGTTGGTTGGGCCTCCTCCCACAAAGCAACGGGTCTCTAGTTCGATCTCCAGTCAGGCCACGCACCTGGGTTTCTTTCGGTGTTGTCCTGTCCGGACCCATATGAGAAGCAACAGACTGACGTTTCTCTCTCACATCAATGTTTCTCTCCCTCTCTTTCTCTCTCCCCTCCTCTCTCTCTTAAAAGAAATAAATAAAACCTTCAAAAACTTTTGCTGAATGAATGACTCACGGAGAAGTGTCAAAGGAGACAAAAGATGAGGAAGCCCCTTGAAAAACAACCGAGAAGCCTGGTGACACTTCGGGGGATGGAGGGTGCTCACCAATGGTGGCAATGATGCTGGTGCTGCGAGCAGCCACGGGCTCCGAGTCGATGTCCAGCAGGCAGAGGTGTTCCAGGAAGGTGTCTGCCATTGCGGCTGACAGCTGCTGCTTCTGAAAGAAGGCCGTGCCCAGCTCCTGGGTCAGTTGGGCTACGCTGGCCCTCCGCAGGTACCCCGCTGGCCCTGCAGTAGAAGGGGACTGCATAGGCACCTGGCTCTCCCTGCTGTATCTCAGCACGCCCTCTGTTCCTTCCCTCACCTCTCCAGTGCTTGTGGAGTACTGCTTATGAACGGAGCATTATGCGCACAGTATCTTACATAGTCACAAGGATCCTATCCAGCAAGTAGTTAAATGCTCTACAATGATTCCCATTTTACAGATAAGGAAAGAGAGAAGCTGAGAAAGATTAAATAAATTGCCCAATATCATATAGCATCTAAGTAACAGAGATGGCATTCACACCCAGGTCTGACTAACTCCAGGCTCAAGTCCGGCTATCTGGTCCCCACACTGCCTGACTTCTTGACCTTTGGCTGCTGACTTCCCTCTGCCTCAGCCTCTGCCCCTTCTTTGATACCTCACTGTTCAGGCCCAGAATCACCCAGTCCCCTTTCTAAGGTCCCTGTTGTTTTCCTTCCAATTGCTGGCTTTTCTATCCCCTCCTCTGAGTTTCCTCAGCTCCTTCAGTTTCTACTTCATCCAGGTCCTGAGGTTCTGTAGCTTAACTCAGCCCAGAGGGGCCGCTCTGGCCATACCCTCCATGCTGCAGCACGCCTGCTGGGCTCTGGCGATCTGCTCCACACCGTCAGGCTGCCGGAGGTATGAGGCCCCGCTGGGCTGGGGATTGGTTCTGCCTACTGGTTAAAGTGTCACCAGTGTCTCCCCGTCACTGAAAGCCCCGTGAACCAGGGGCCAGAGTCCAAAAACCATGCGAGTGCCCCGTGACTCCCATGCCTTGGGTTCCTCTCTGCCTTCCTCTCTGCCTGATAGAAGAGGTCCAGACCAGGGTCCATAGTTTAACACAGAGGAGACCTCAGTGAACACAGACCCTCCCCAAACTCCTCCTAGACAGCACATACACTTCTTCTGCACCCTCCGCCCCCACTCCTGATTCTATGCTCATCTTCTTCCCCCTCTTTAAAATGTTTTAATGTACTAATTTGAAAGAGAACAGGACAGCGAGCTGTTGTTCCACCCATCGATGCATCCATTGATTGATTCTTGTGCATACCCTGATAGGTGACTGAACCCGCAAACGTGGTGCATTGGGGCTGACATTCCCCCCTACTCAGCTACCTGGCCAGGGCTCTTCCCCTTCTTTTCACTGACTTCTGCTGACCCTTCTTACCTCCTGGAGCCCCAATTAGGATGGACTTTGCTAAGTCCCTTTGGGACTTAGACATCCATGACCAAAGCTGTTGGGGTTTTCTGTTCTCATTCTCCTGGATCGACATGCTCCCAGCGTGTGGGCCGGGCTGCCCAGAGTGCAGGGAGAGGGGGAGAGGAGACAAAACTGCTGGTCTTATCTCAGAGAGCCAGAGAGAAGAAAAGGGACCCACCCAGTAGGCTGCCTCTGTCTCCACGCAGAGTCCCTCCCCCAGACCTACTGGCTCTTTTCCCTTGTCTTCTGGCATTCCCCCTCTTGTTCATATTTCCTGGTACTTTTTTTCTTTAAAAATTTTTTATTTTTCACCCTGGTTGGCATAACTCAGTGGACTGAGCGCGGGCTGTGAACCAAAGCATCGCAGATTCGATTCCCAGTCAGGGCACATGCCTGGGTTGTAGGCCACGGCCCCCAGCAACCGCACATTGATGTTTCTCTCTCTCTCTCTCTCTCTCTTTCTCCCTCCCTTCCCTCTCTAAAAATAACTAAATAAAATCTTTAATTTTTTTTTAATTTTTCAATTACAGCTTACATTCAATATTACTTTATATTAGTTTCAGGTGTACAGCATGTGGCCAGACAATCACGTACTTTACAAAGTGGTCTCCCCGATATTTCCCATAGCCTGCTGGCCCCATACATGGTTATTGCAGTATTATTGACTACATTGCCTCCTCTGTACTTTACATCCCTTAACTATTTTAATGACCAATTTGTACTTCTTAATCCCCTCTCATCTTCACCCATTCCCCTGCAACCCCTCTCATCTGGCAACCATCAAAACACTCTTCATATTCAATTGTTTTTTCCATATTCAATTGTTGATAGCTATGTATGTATTTTTTGTTCACAGTTTTGATCTTCTTTCTTAAATAACTCCCTTTACTATTTCATATAATAATGATTTGGTGATGGTGAATTCCTTCAATTTTTTTTTTTGGTCTGGGAGGCTCTTTATCTGCCCTTCAATTCTAAATAACAGCTTTGCTAGGTAGAGCAATCTTGGCTGTAGGTCCTTGCTTTTCATGACTTTGAATATTTCTTGCCAATCCCTTTTGGCCTGCAAAGTTTCTTTTGAGAACTCAGCTGACAGTCTTATGGGGACTTCCCCTGTACGTAAGTAACTGCTTTTTCTCTTGCAGTTTTTAAGATTCTCTCTTTATCTTTAACCTTTGGCATTTTATTTATGATGTGTCTTGGAGTGGGCCTCTTTGTGTCTATTTTGTTTGGGACTCTTTGTGCTTCCTAATCTTGCATGTTTATTTCCTTCACCAAATCAGGGAAGTTTTCTTTCCCTATTTTTTCAAATACAGTTCCACTTTCTTGCTATTTATCTTCTCCTGACACCCCTGTGATATGAAAGTTGGGATGCTTGAAGTTGTCCTAGAAGATGCTTACACTATCCTCATTAGGATTAGTGTAATCCTAATTACACTAATTAGGATTATTTTTGGATTATTTTTTCTTCTTGTTCTGATTTTTTTTTATTCCTTATGTTGCAAATCATTGATTGGATTCTTGGCTTCATCCACTCTACTATTGTTTCTTTGTAAACTGTTCTTTATTTCAATTAGTGTATCCTTCATTTCTGACTCTATTTTTTTAATGAGGTCCTCACTAACTTCCTCCAGCATCCTCATAACCAGTGTTTTGAACTCAGCATCTCATAGATTGTTTATCTCCATTTTATTTAGGTTTTTTTTTTTTGAGTTTTGATCTTGTTCTTTCATTTGGGCCACGTTTCTTTGTCTCCTCAATTTTGGCAGCCTCCCTGTGTTTGTCTCTATGTATTAGGTAGGAGCTGCTTTGACTCCTTGTCTTGGTAGCATAGCCTAATGTAGCAGGTGTCCTATGGGGTCCAGTGGCAAAGCCTTCCCTATCACCCAGGCTGGGTACTTGAGGTGCACCCTTCATATGGGCTGAATACACCCTCCTCTTGTAGTTGAAACTTGGTTGCTGTTGGCGAGTCAATGGGAGGGATTTACTGAGGGCAGTCAGCTACAGGGATTGACTGTGACCACTAATGATTAACCTCTGCCCTCTGTGGAGGATCAGCTGTGCAGGGGCAGGGTGGTAGTGCTCTGATGTGGTCTGTAGCTGTCCACTGGGTATGTTGGCCCTGAGGTGTCTCAGGTGGTACAGGTCAAAGTCAACCCCCACCTGTGTTTTGCCCGGGACACCCTGCCTGAGCTATAAAGCAATCTGAGATGGCTGCTACTCGTGCTGGGCTTGGAAGTTCCCAGGAAAAGCCAAGCTGTGAATCTAGGCTGGCTGCTGCTAGTGCCATGACTGGGGCCACTTGACATGGTAAGGGCAGTGGGGGTCACTGAAGCTGGCTTTGCTTGTTTGATAGTATTTAGGAAGTTGTGAAACATGAGTCAAGACCAGTCATTCACTCCCTGGCTGGTGTAGCTCAGTGGATTGAGCACGGGCCTGCAAACCAAAGCATTGCTGGTTCTATTCTCAGTCAGGGCACATGCCTGGGTTTCAGGCCAGGTCCCCTTTGGGGGGTGTACAAGAGGCAACCACTCATCAATGTTTCTCTCCCTCTTTTTTTCTCTCCCTAACCCTCTCTCTAAAAGTAAATAAATTAATTTAAAAATACAATTTAAAAAGCTTTAAGAAAAGATTAGCCATTCATATGGAGAAGCCACTGTTAATAGCTATAAGTTGGGTGAGATGGAGCCTCAGGGGAATCTCCACGGAGGGGCAAACTGTGTTAGCTGGGTTGATGGAGTCTCAGATATGGCACCGGCCTGCTGGCTGTGTGGCTCTGTGGTAGCACAGTTCAGAAAAGGAACAATAATGGCCTCTGCCCACCTTTCTGTCTGGGTCACAGCTGTCTCCCAGCTCTAGCATGGATGCCAGATTCTTCAGTTCCTCCCTGTATGCCACTGTTGCCTTTCAAGCTGCTACCCTGGTGCTTGAGTTCAGAAGGAATGAGTCTAAGCATGTTCGTGTGTGGATTCTTTAAGAGGAAATGTTTGGGACTACAGAAGTTTTCTTTCACTGACTCATGGCTGGTTTCTGCAGCCAGAAGTTATGGTGACTCATTTTCCTGGCACTGGAACCCTGGGCTGGGAATCCTGGTGTGAGGCTGGGACTCCTCGCTCCCAAGATATCCCTCCTGAATTTTTGTTTACCACATGTGGATGTGGGACCAGCCCATTCCTCATCTCCACCCCTCCTACCAGTCTGGGTGGATGTGGTTTCTTTAATTCCATAGTTGTCAGTCTTCCATTCAACTAGATTCTGAGTGATGGTAGTTAAATATTTTTTCTTTTTTTGAAGATTTTACTTATTTATTTTTAGAGAGGGGAAGGGAGGAAGAAAGAAGGAGAGAAACATCAATGTTTGCTTGCCTCTCAAGCGCCCCCTATGGGGACCTGGCCCACAACCCACTCATGTGCCCTGACTGGGAATCGAACAGACGACCGTTTCGTTCTCAGGCTGGCACTCAATCCACTGAGCCACACCAGCCAGGGCCTAATTTAGTTATAATTTTGATGTGGTTGTATGAGGAGGCAAGCCGTATTTACCTATCCTGGTAGATTTTCAATCCATTCACATTGTCTTGTCATCAACCTGAATAGATATTTTTTGCTGAATATGGCCCTTTTTTCTATGTACTTACTGAAGTTAGCCTAGATGAATCTGCAAAACAAAGGGTTTAGAGTAGGGCCCGGAGCCTGAAGCAGCAGGATGGAAGCACTGTGATATGGTGGCAGGATTCTCTTGAAAGGCTCTGATAGCACGCTAACATTCACTGCCATTTGCTCACTGACCACTGTCCAATATCCACTGAGCGCCTGTTCTGCCTCAGGTCCTGCAGATACAGTGGTGAGCAAAAGAGACAGGGCCTTGTCCTTCTGTGAAATCTATAATATGATAAGGAGACAGACTATAAACAAGTATCAAACAAATAAATGTATACCTACACATGTGTAAGTGCTATAATGGAATCGATTAGGGCGCTGGAAGAAGAAGCCTGTGGGAGAAGGGAGTGGGATGTTTGTTTGTTTATTTATTTATTTATTTATAACAGGAACAGTGTGGGGCTTGAGTTTCATCACGTTAATCCACCTCTATATTTTTTATTTTTTCAAAAGATTTTATTTATTTATTTTTAGAGAGGGGAAGGGAGGGAGAAAGAAAGGGAGAGAAGTATCAGTGTGTGGTTCCCTCGCTAATAGGGACCTGGCCTGCAACCCAGGCATGTGCCCTAGACTAGGAATTGAACCAGCAACCCTTAGGTTTGCGGGGTGGCACTCAATCCACTGCGCCTCACCAGCCTGGGTGACCTCTCTATTTTTTCTAAAGGATTTTAAAAATTTATTTTAGAGAGGAAGGAAGTGGGCAGAGAGGGAGATAGAGAGAAACATTGATTTGGTATTCCACTTATTCATGTATTTATTGGTTGCATCTGGTATGTGCCCCAACCAGGGATTGAACCCACAACTGTGGTGTACTGGGATGATGTGCTAACTGACTGAGCTATCCAGCCAGGGAAGAGCCTCTTTGAAATGATCATATTTAAGCTGAAATTTGAAAGATGAGAAGGAACCAGTGGGAAAAATTTGGAGCAAAGTGTTTTCTGAGGGGTTGTAAATAATATATGCCAAGGCTCTCAGGAAGGAAAAAGCTTTTTGCTAAGGAGCGGGAAAGCTGAAAGGAGGTCATACATCTGGAGTGGAGGGGCATGGTCTTTGGGGAAAGTGGAAAACTTAGCAGGGCCTTGGAGGTCACTGGGTTCACCCAGCGGAGTAACATGACCCAGCTATTGCTCTAGATCCCTCTGGCTGGTAGGTGGAGAATAGAGCGTGGGCACACAGAGACCAGAGAGGGATTTAGGAATAATCTAGGTGAGAGCTAACGGACTAGCACAGTGGCGGTGGAGATGGAAGGAAGACAGATTTGAGACGTACTTTGAAGAGCAGACAGGGCAGATCGACAGAGACACATAGGGAGAGGGAGACAGAAGCCTTCATCTCCTGAAGGATGGCGCTGAGGAGCCTGGCCTGACAGTTGGGTACAGGGTAGTGCCACTCACTCAGACTAGGGAAGATGTAGGTTGATGGGGAAAAATATTCAAGGTTTCAGTTTTATACAGATGAAGTTTGAGATGCCAGTTTAATCATTAAAATCAATAGGCAGACCGTTGGATCTGTCCGTCAGTGCCTTGATACGTCCTCTCCCTTCACCATCATGACAGCCTAGAAGGAAGGTAGGACCAACAGCCTGTTTTACAGATGCGGGAATGGGGGCGACCAGGGTGAGCTGGGCATCTTGTGTTGTCACTCCAGATCCTTTCTCTGCTCTTCTCCACTCTGCTCTGGAGTCAGGAGGCCTCGGGCCTTGCCCTGTAGCTTCTGTAGGGCTTGATTGGTGGAGAAGGGCGCCAACAGGAGACGAGACAGAGGGCGGGGTGTCTGGGCGTCTACCTGCTCCCACTCCTGCAGGGTTGCTGCAGGTTACAGCTCCTGGCAGGGTCTTTATCATTCCAGATCCAAGAAACCTTTCTCCACCTCCTCCAACCCCTGGGCCCCTGAGGGTGGCAGGCAACTAAGCCCACTGCTACCCCACCTGGGATAATATACGAACCTTTATGTTTTATACGTACCCTGCCTGGGCCTTTGTATAAGATCCTGTCATAAAATATTCTTCAAATCACCTACATTGAGAGACGCCTCGGTTTCCTGATGGAGCCCTATGTGCCACACTTGTCTAGGGCCAAAACTCTTGTCAGTGGTGGAGCTGGGATTTGGGCCCAGAGAGTGTGGTCCAGAGCCTGGGCTGTAAGCACTGAGCTCCATTTCTTTCCTCTTGGGACTATTTTGTTGGAAGGGACAGGGATAAATCTCAGACTCTGGTTGAGGAAGAAAGAGGTTAGCTAGAAGGAAGAACAGAAAAAGAACAAGTAAAGATGGACAAGGGTTGTCACCAGAGGGAACTTGATAGACTTCCAGGACTGGGGGCTCAGTTCCTGTGCTTGGAGGTTGGAGAGGGACATGGGATGTTTAAGGTTGGCCTGGCAATTTTGAACTGACTTTAGAAAAGTTAGGAGGACAAGAGTCCCAGAGATTCAAGAATCAAGTGGCCAACAGGAAGTGGGGGTTGGTGCCCCAAAGCATCTCCTTGCCCTGTCCAGCCGAGAAACAGAAGCTTTGGCTGAAATCAGGTCAAACAGGAGAAGCAGTCTGGCTGACCCTGGGTCCACAAGCGACCCTGTGAGGTCATCTGCGCTTTGTTACAGGGGACAGGCAGGCCTGAACATAGGCGTGTGAGGGGGAAAGACAACGGGTGAATTCAGCTTTTCGGATAAGATCTCTCCCCAACCCTCCAGTCCATCCTCAAACGCGGGTACTCTGCCATCCTCAGACACACACAGGGCTTCTCACCCCCGAAGTCAAACTATGTGTGTTTGGAGCCAGCCCCAAGCATGGAGCCAGCCCCAAGCATGGAGCCAGCCCCAAGCATGGAGCCAGCCCCCACCCCAGGCCCTGCCCCATGCCAGACTCTGAAGTTACGAACTCACCAAGGTCAGGTCCCCGCCCATTTAGGGAGAGACAGGAAAGCTAGCAGTTAGGTTTCATAAAGTGTGTCAGGTGGGGTGACAGAGTTGTCTTCAAGACAAGGAGCATTAAGAAACTGCCTTGTGGGTATAGGGTATATCAGGGTGGCTTCGCAGAGGAGGTGACACCAGAGCCCAACAGTCAAGGACAGTGCATGCCCAGGGCTGGGACAAATACATATGCATGTATGCACACACATGCACACTCACACAAACACCTCCAATTCCATCCGTGCACACACATCTCACTGTAACACACACAGAGGTCACACACAAGTGCACATGCTCATACAGCACACTCACACAATTACACAGACTAACCTGACCTTCCCACACTTTTTCTTACAGAGACATACGCACACGTGCACATGCACGCACACGCACGCTCCTGCTCTCACAACGGCCTACAAAGTCCAGGCTCTGTCCACCAGCCTAAGGCGGCCTTACTCTGCAAACCCTCCGGTACCGCCCAGCCTCCTCCGAGGAAAGGGCCACCGCCCGCCTGCGAGGGGAGCCCGAGAGCTTAGAGACGCCGTGGCAGGAGGGCGAGGCTGGGGCTCCAGGGCAGGGCAGGCAACGCAGCAGCAGGTGCCCACGCCACCGCCCTACCGCTACGGCCGGCCTGGGTGGAGAGAGCCTGAGAGTCGAGTTAGTCACCTGCAAACCGAGATAAGAAATCTTTGGGAGGGCGGAGTTCGATACTGTTCGAGGACGTGCTGCGGTTGTGCCAGTGCGTATTATTGATGACGCCTCTCAGACGTCAGTAATCAGAACATCGCCTGTGGGGCCCTGCGTCCGTATTTCCAAAAGTTCCATAGAATTTGTTTGAAATGTATTTACACTTATTTGAATAGCACAATATACCAATTCAGAGGTACGGGTTGTGGGTGAAGCGTTTCTCCCTTCCCAACTGCATCCCCTTCCCAGCCACTCAGCTCCCCCGGCACGTTACCAGATTTCTGAATTTTCTGTGTATTCTCCCAGAAACAGACAATGCAGGGACAAACAACATACTATCTTTCCCTTTTCAGTGCGAACAGCAGCATGGTACTGTACATTCGAGTCTCCACTCCGCCCCGCTTAGTCCCAGACTCCTTGCTTGGGAAGAGACACCTTGATTTGGTTCAGGGCTTCTGGGATGCACCCCTGAACTGTACCTGCAGGACCCTCATTTGCATGGGGGAGATTAGCCAGAGAGGAGCTAGAGGCAGAGGCCAGCCTGGACCCCCGTCTCTTTTTCTTTTTTTAAAAGTTGAGGTGAAATATAAATAAGATAAAATTTACCGTTTTAACCTTTTTAAGTGTACAGTTCAGTGGCATCAAGTTCATTCACAATGCTGTGCAATTGTCATCACTATCAGTTTCCAAAACTTTTTCATCAACCCAGAGACTCTGCCCTTAAACAGTAACTCCCCACCCCCCACTCTCCACTCTCAGCCCCTGGGTGCACCTGTGCACTCCTAGCCTCTGTGACATTGTCCGCTCTGGGCACCTTGGGTAAGCGGAATCAGACAGTATTGTCTCTTTGTAGCTGGTCTATGTTTTCGAGGTTCTGTTGAAGCATGTATCAGAATTACCTTCCTTTTCAAGGTTGAGTAATACTCCACTGCATGGACACACCACACCGTCTGACCTGCTCACCTACCAGTGGGTGGGCAGATGGGCCGTTTCTGCCTTTTGGCCATTGCGAATCACGTTGCTGTGAATGTTAGTCTATGGTCCCAGGTCTCTGGGTCCTTCTGGAGCCTTCCATGAAGGTGTATCATGTTTTGCTCAGCTCCTGAATTGCATGTGGGGCAAGGTAAAGGGCTCAACTCCGGTGAGAGGCGGGACACGCAGAAGAGCCATACACTGAGAGGGGTGGGGAGAAGCGGGTAGAGGGTGAGAAGGTGGAGAGCACAGTACTCTGTATGCGGCCCACTAATGTTTCCCATCACACTTGGAGTAGAGGCCAAAGTCTTTACAAGGCCCTGATACTGCTTGATCCTCCTCTTCCTCCTCTTGTCCCTTTAAAGCCTCTTCTTGTCCAGTCATACTGACCTCCTCACTGTTCCTCAGACAAGGAGGGTGAGCACCTGCCTCAGAGAGGGTAGCTCAGTCCCCGTCCCCTGCCTCTGTCTACGGACAATGCCTCCCCTAGATGGCCGTGCACCTTGCTTATTACTTCCTTCTAGTTTCTTTTTCTTTCCTTTACTCAAAGTCTTTTTATTTTAGTACATGGGTTGGGACTGATGGGACAGGGTGGAAGTGGGCAACATTGCCTTGATTAGCATCGGATGTCCATCCCGATAGCCATGAATGTGCCAAAGGTGCCGCCACTCTGCATCGTGGTTTTCCCGATACCACCCATCCGCTCCCGACCCCGCAGTCCAATCCTGAGACAGGAAAAGGCACCAAAGAGCGCCCCGGCAGCCGTGCCCACGGGGCAACCCATCACAAAGCCCATCTTCATGCGGTCAAAGCAACTTGGCTGGGACTGTCTGTAGGGACCCACGGCCACCGGCATCTCGCTCGCAGCCTCAGTAGCTCAGGTCTACGTCTCACCTCCTTCTAGTTTCTTTTCAGGCACCACCTTACCAGTGAGGCCTTCTCCGACCACTGCATTTAACACTGCAGCTTCCCCCATGCTTTGCTTTCCTTCCTTGCTCAACTTCCATACATTTGATTTGCTTTCTAGGTGGAGTGCATTCTTACTCCACCTAGAAACTCAGTTCCAGGAGGACAGGGATTTTGCCCATTTTGTCCATCCACTGATACACTTTTAGTGCTTACTAGGTGCTCAATAAATAACTTTGAATGGTGAATGAATGGTGAGGGGTTTGGCTCTTAATGTGACTCAGCAGGGTCCAGCACGGTCCAGCCCAGCCCAGCCCAGCCTCTCTCTGGGCTTCAGACACTCATACCAATGGCCCCTGCAGTGGGGTCATGCTCCATCTTTTAGCAATCTCCGTCTCTTGTGCACCTTCTATTCACTCAGTCAACTTCTTTTCCTTTCCGTATCCTCACCCCATCCTGCTCCACCTCCTAAACTCTCTCTCTGCATCTTAGTGAAACTCTGAACCTCTCACCACTCACATCTAACGTCAGTAAACAAAATGTGCAGACTCCAGACATTTTCCAAACCTACTTCTCCACCTTCACTGCCATAGACTGTGGCCTGTGGCCTGCCTCTGCTCATCCGTTGCCCAGGCTTTTCCTCCCGGGGTCTCCATTGCTGAGGTCCCCATTGCAAAGGACCCTCCTGCTGCAGATAAGTTGTCTAAAAATCAGGTCTGATCTGCCTACTCTGACCAAGGACACTATTGACTCATCAGGGCATGGAAGGACCTTTACTATCTGGACCCAGGTCACTTCTCTAGCCACATCGCGTTGCTTTCTCCACGCTTAGCCCCTGCGCGAACGCTTGCACTTCCTAAATGTGACTGGGTCTCTGTCAGTGCCGCGCCTTCGCACGCGCTGTTCCCTGCACCTGGGTGCTCTTCCCTTCCTTCTCTGTTAGCCGAAATTCCCATTTAACCAATTCCATTGCACCTCCTTTCTGACATCTAGATAGGCTTTCTTAAAAAAAATTACAGTTTACATTCAATATTACTTTGTATTAGTTTCAGGTGTATAGTATAGTGGTTAGACAATCATACACTTTACAAAGTGTTTCCCCCAATATTCGAGCACTCACCTGGCCCCATACACAGTTATTACAATATTATTGACTGTATTCCCTGTGCTGTACTTGACTTCCCTGGGACTATTTCATGACTACAAATTTGTAGTTTTTACTCCCTTCGTCTTTTTCACCCAGCCTGCCAGACATCCTCCCCTCTGCCGCCCATTGGTCTGTTTTCTGTATCTGCGTGTCTGTTCCTATTTGTTTATTCATTTATTCTGCTCTATAGAGTCCACATATAATGAAATCATGTGGTGTTTGTCTTTCTCTATCTGACTTACTTCACTTAGCATAATACCCTTTGGGTCCATCCATACCATGGCAAATAGTAAGATTTCATTTTTTAATATATTTTTAAATATTTTATTTATTTATACTTTAGAGATGGTAAGGGAGGGAGAAAGAGAGAGAGAGAAACATCAATGTGTGGTTGCCTCTCATGTGGCCCCCACTGTGGACCTGGCCCACAACCCAGGCATGTGCCCTGACTGGGAATCGAACCTGCGATGCTTTGGTTTGCAGCCCACGCTCAATCCACTAAGTTATGCCAGCCAGGGCAGATTTCAATTTTTTTATGGCCAAGTAATAGTCCAGTGTATATATGAACTGCATCTTTATCTACTTGTCTACTGAGGGGCACTTGAGTTGCTTCCATATCTTGGCTATTGTAAATGACGCTGCACTGAACATAGGGGTGCTTATATTCTTCCTAATCAGTGTTTTGGGTTCCTTCAGATATATACCCAGTAGTGAAATCACTAGGTCATAAGGCAGTTAATTTTTTGAGGACCCTCCATATTTCTCTTCTATAATGGCTGCACTGATCTGCATTCTCACTGGGTGGACTTTCTTGTCTCCTTCTTCTGTTCAGTTAAATTTAAAACTCATGTCCTGCTGAATGCAATGTATGGACCTGATTTGGATACTGATTTAAATAAACTAATCGCAAAATACTATTTTGAGACAATCCAGGAAATTTGAACATGGATTGGGCATTACAGAATATCAAAGAAGCCCTGGCTGGCGTAGCTCAGTGGATTGAGTGCAGGCTGCGAACCAAAGTGTCGCAGGTTTGATTCCCAGGCAGGACACATGCCTGAGTTGCAGGCCATAACCTCCAGCAACCACACATTGATGTCTCTCCCTCTCTCTCTCTCTCTCTCCCTCCCTTCACTCTCTAAAAATAAATAAATAAAATCTTTAAAAAAGGAATATCAAAGAAATTACTGTTCATTTTGTGTTGCATTTAAAAATTTCTTATCTATTAGAAAGACATTCTTGAAGTGTTTGTGGATCTAATGATATTCATATAGGGGGGTTTGATTTAAAACATTCCAGCAAAGAAAGGGTGTGGTAGCTGGTATGCGGGGAAGAAAGGCGAGTAGTTTAATAAAATCAGATGGACAAAATGTTGACAATTGTGAAAGCTTGGTGAGTTACACGGAGGGGTCGTTAGCTATGTTATAAAAAACATCAAAATTAATTTCATGCAAGTTTATTGTTGGGGCAAACCCTGTGCTGTCATCTGGGTGACAATATTAAAGATGTCTCTGTCCTCAAAAAATTCCATGTAGTGGAGAAGATAGGCAAGGATTCAGGCACTGTTCATATTTAGTGATCAAGTTGTGACTGGGGAGAGGCCGGGCCACGGGGAGACATGTAACCCAGTGAGGGAAGGTCTCCTAGAGGAGGACTCAGGTGTGGCCTCTTAATGGAGACCACAAAATACAAGCGCTTAAACCGTACTCTACCCAATGATTAGGATGCAGCCAAAAGCCGACATGGCTTGTCATCGCTGGGACATTGCTGTCAACTTATCTCCATTTTGAGGAGAAGAAAAATGACATTCAAATGAATCCCAATCATGTAGTCAATAAGGGTTTAAACCAGGCTTTGAACTCAGGACAGGTTGACTGCAAAAACTGTGTTCTATCCCTGAGTACTTGAGGCTACTTAGAGAGTGTGGGAGGGGTGGCCCTGAACACTTTCTCTCTTTCCAGAGACCTGGAGTATTTAGGAGACTCTAGCCTATTTTCCTGCTAGGGACCCACCTGTGGGGGTTAGGCTGGGCATTGGAGAGCCCTTCCTGACCTATGTCAATTGCTCTTCTGTCTGGGGCTGAGCTAGCTAGCAGTTGATACCGACTCCCATAAGAGCACAGAAGACAAGCCAGGTAGATATTAAATCAGCTAGAGATCTGACTCAGAAGTCTGAGTGCACTCCTTCTTCCATTCGAAAGGGCTATATTCTGGTCCTTTCAGAGCTTCATACAGTGGTTTAGCAATAAGCTCAAATTTTGGAATCTGAATGCAGCAGTAGCCAGCCATTCCCAGGAATCTTCTCAGCTGCTTCCTGGTATCAGGAACTCTCATTTAAATTAAGGTTCCTTGTCATGGCTGGTGTGGCTCAGTGAACTGAGCACTGGCCTGCAACCCAAAAAATCACCAGTTTGGTTCCCAATCAGGGCACATGCAAGGGTTCTGGGCCAGGTCCCTGGGTGTGTGTTTGTGATGATAATCTCACACATTGATGTTTCTTTCCTCTCTTTCTGCTGTTTTTCTCCCTCTCTTTCTCCCTTCCTCCCCCTCTCAAAAGTAAGCAAATAAAATATTTCAGAAACTTATGCTTTCTTTTCTGTTTCCAGTAAGACTCTTTTTGCCAGATTCAAGCAAGAACCCTTAAGAGACCTTATGGCTTGTTGGCACATCTGGGCCTTCTGCACTGATATTTTATAGCCACAAGATGCCAGGTGGTTCAAGGTAGTTATACAGTGTTAGTTAAACATTGCTGAAATGATGTCCCAGTAATTAAGAGGTCACCTACATATTGTAACAGAATTCTTCCTTCTAATTTTAGGTCCCTTAAGTCCTCGTTCAGGGTCTCCCCCAAAATCATGGGGAGTTCTTGAACCCCTGTGGTAAGACTGTCCAGCAGTACTGAGTCTTGACCCGAGATTCCAGTCCTGCCATTGGAAAGCAAACAACGGCTGAGAGCCTTGGCCAGCCAGAATGCAGAAGAAAGCATCTATTAAGTCCAGTACTGAAAGCCAGAGGCTGTGCTTGGGTATATACTGTTCACTAGGGTACAAGGATTTGAGACAGTGGGGTGAGTGTCCTGTACAATGTCATTTATGGCCCTTTAATCTTGTAAAAATTGATACTCATTCGAGTGGGGTTTCTATATGGACAATAAGGGTGTATTGTACGGGGAGTGGCGGGGCTGAATAAGTCCATATTCCTGAAACTTCTGAGTTATTGTGTGTATTCCTTCTAGGGTCTCTTTTTGCAAGGTATACTGCCTCTAACTGGGAGTTCCCACCTTTGGTTTGAGGTCAGCTTTAACAGGGAGGCTCCCTTAGCCCTCTCTGGCCTTCCAGCAGCCCACACCATGGGGTTTGCCTGCTTCTCAACATCTTCTGGCCAGACTCGCTTTTATTCTTTTCCATGGCTTCCTAAGGAGCTGCCAGGTGTGCTCTGCGGGGACCTGGAGGTGGAGCTGCTGTTCTTCTGGAGAGAAAGTGATCTGAGCACAGTGTTGTGACAGCAAGTCCCTTCCCAGAAGAGGAAGTGGTCACTCAAGAATATGTAAAAATGTTATGAGTTACAACTGTATCTCCCACAGCATATTCTAACGGCTTCAAGGAAAACTGGCTTTCAAGGCTTCCAGAAGTTCCACTTCCAGTTCCTGCCACAAGGACTCAGTTAGAGGCCTATTGACCATGGAATATGTCACTCCAGTATCAAAGAGTCTACAGTTTCTACCCCTACTGTTAATTTAAAAAAATATTTTATTTATTTATTTTTAGAGAGAGGGGAAGGGAGGGAGAAAAAGGGAGAGAAACGTTGGTGCTGGAGGGATATATTAATAATTGCCTCTCACACACCCCATACGAGGACCTGGACTCAGTGGGCTGGCCGCTTCCAGCCCAGGCATGTGCCCCTACTGGGTATAGAACCAGCAACCTTTTGGTTCACAGGCCGGCACTCAGTCCACTGAGCCATTACAAGCTAGGGCTCCACTACTTTACCTGAGGTTGTTAGGGGGTGACTTTAATGCATTGTTGTAATCACTGAACCTCTGGGCCCCGTCATTCATCATCAGAGCTATTTCCTTTCCCCACCATAACTCTCGAGTTCTCAGACTCTGACCTCCACCCCCCTCACTTGGAGCACTCCTTTCTCCAGGCCCCCTTTCCTCTGCAATATGTGCATTGATCAGTGGTAAGAGTTTTAGATGGGTCGGGGTGGGGGGGGGGAGTGCCCCTTGCGCACCAATGGAATTTCGCTGAGGCTTGTTCCAAGAAAATAGTGGCCACGTGGGCCTTCTTCTGTTTTCTGCTACTATAAACTTTGAAGGCAATGTCTACTGATTGAGAAGGATTCATGACTATTCCTCCCTCCAACTCCTGAAGTTTCTTTCTGATGTCTGGTGCACTTTGACAGAGAAAGGTCATATTTACCCTTCTAGTATTTTCAGGGACTTGTTGATCCAAACCAGTATATTTTCTATAGGCCTCATACGTTCTTTCGAGAAAGTCAGAGGGGTCCTCACTGGGCCTTTGTAGCACTGCCTGTTCCATATTCAGACTTTTCTGCTTAGGGACTCCTTTCTTCAGTCCCTCAAAGAGGACCTCTTATAATGCTCTAAGAGAGGAAGGCCATTCCCATTAGGGTCCCAGATGGGTTTGGTTAAAGGTATTGCCTTAGTAGGGTTGGGAGTCCCATCTGGATTTTCTTGGTGCCGCTTCCAAGCCTCTTCATTTGCCTTATCCAATACCAACCTCTGCTCATCTCCTATAAGTAAAATATTCAGTAAGGCTTGTATGTCTGCCCAACTGGGATGGAGGGTGGCAAAAACTGACGTAACTAAGTCAGTCATTTTAGTAAGGTTATCCCTTTAAGAAGGATTTGAGGTTTCCCAGTTTAACAGATCCAATGTAGAAAATGGAGTATAGCCCAATAATACCCAGTGGGCTGGCCCTACTCCCACTGGAAGTCTTCACAAAGGATACTGCACTGCCCTGCCCTGGTAGGGGCGTGTCCTCCCCTGAATTTGGTTCCCAGATGAGTTGGGATGGAGAGACCAGCTCAGGCTCACCTTATTTGGCTCCCTCAGCTGGGTAAGGAGGACAATCCCCCAGGGCTGAAGGGACTGTGGGAACCCTGACCATGCTCACAGCAGCCATGGCATCCTGATTTTCCCATTACCTCTCTTCTGAGCTTCTGCTCTCTACCACAGGTAAATACCCTTTCTCTGGGCCATCAATCTGTTTCCTTTTAATCCTGCATCTTTATTATGTAAAGTATAGAAGCTTTTACAAAAGGTATTTGACCTCATTTCCCTGATCTTTGACCAAGCAACTCTAATTGTAGTAGAGTACAGTAATTTAAAGACCCATTCAGCCCTGGCTGGTATGGCTCAGTAGATACAGTGCCAGCCTGAGAACTGAAAGGTTGTTGGTTTGATCCCCAGCCAGGGGCATATGCCTGGGTTGTTGGCTGTTGGCCAGGTCCTCTGATGGGGCAATGTGCAATGTTTCTCTTGCACATTGATGTTTCTCTCCTTCTCTTTCTCTCTCCTTTCCCCTATCTCTAAATAAATAAATAGCCTAGCTGGTGTGGCTCAGTGGATTGAGTGTTGAGCTGTGAAGCAAGGGGTCACTGGTTTGATTCCCAGTTAGGTCACATGCCTGGGTTGTGGGCCAGGTCCTCAGTGGGGCAACCACACATTGATATTTCTCTCCCTTTCTTTCTCCCTCCCTTCTCCTCTAAAAATAGGTAAATAAAATCTTTAAAAATAAATAAATAAATTAAATCTTTAACAACAACAAAAGACCCATTCGGTGGCCAGCACTCTCCTGAGTCCAGATTTGCCGTAGATGTATGAGTTTATTTCTGGACTCTCAATTCTGTTCCATTGGTATATATATCTATCTTTATGTCAGTACCACATGGTTTTGATTACTATAATTTTAAAAAAGATGTTTAAATTTACTTTTAGAGAGTAGGGAGGGGAGGGATAAAGAGAGGGAGAAAAACATCAATGTGTGGTTGCTTCTCCCGTGCCCTGCACTGGGTGCCTAGCCCACAACTCAGGCATGTGCCCTGGCTGGTAATTGAACTGATGACCCTTTGTTTCACAAGCTGGCACTCAGTCCTCTGGGTGCCAGCCTGTGAACCAACCACTGAGTAACCAACCAGGGCTGATTATTGTAACTGTGCACTAAGTTTCAAAACTGGGATGTGTTAGTTTTTCAATCTTGTTCTTCTTTATCCAGATGAGTTTAGCTATTCATGGTCCCTTGCAAGTCCATATGAATTTGAGGATCAGCTTTTCCATTTCTGCAAAAAATTTTACTGGAATTTTGATAGGGATTGTACTGAATCTGTAGATTGCTTTGGGTGGTACTGACATCTCATTGTGCGTTGTTTTCCATTTATTTAGGCCTCCTTTAACTTTTTTTCAGCAATGCTTTCTAGTCTTCACCATGTACAAGTCTTGTATAAGTCTTTTCACCTCCTTGGTTAAATTTTATTGAGAATCTTCCCTGTTTATGCCCGAGTTGTGACCTTTATTGTAAGGGTGAAATATAGGCATGCTCTCTCCCAGGGAGAACTGGCCCTTCTTTCCAGGAGGTTAGTATCTTTGATCTTTAATTGTTCTTTTCAGGAGAACTGGTCCTTCTCCAGAGGGACCTGTTGGTTAGGTAAGTCACGAAAGGCCTTGGTGCCTGTAGCTACTTGTGTCTAAAACATATTTAAGCAGAGCCCTCAAAGTGAGGCTTTGGAATCACCCAAGGGAAGGACGCTTCGCTTGGAACTTTCGCAGGCGGACCTCGAATGCACCTCCGGGGTTCCCCGGTGTCTATGTTCAGGTATTGGTGATTTCCCCTCTGGTGATGTATATTCTTGATTCTTGCTTTTGGTTTGCTCTCGCTTAATAATGTGCTTAGCTATTCACTTTTTAAAAAAGATTTTATTTATTTATTTTTAGAGAGGGAAGAGAGGGAGATAGATAGAGAGAGAGAGAAACATCAATGTGCGGTCACTGGGGGTTATGGCCTGCAACCCAGGCATGTACCCTGGCTGGGAATCGAACCTGCTACACTTTTGTTAGCAGCCCATGCTCAACCCACTGAGCTACGCCAGCCAGGGCTAGCTATTCACTTTTAACTTGGGGTTTTTATTGTCTGCGAATCCGAACCTCCAAGTTGAATGGCTACAGTCAAATGTGTTCCCCTTAATGGCACACCTAGCTGGTGTGACTCAGTGGATTGTATGCTGGCCTGTGAACCAAAAGGTCACCAGTTTGATTTCCAGTCAGGGCACGTGCCTCGGTTGTGGGCCAGGTCCCCAGTTGGGGGCATGTGAAAGTCAAGTTATTGATGTTTCTCTCACATATGGATGTTTCTCTCCCTGTCTTTCTCCCTTTTCATCTCTCTGAATAGAAATAAATAAAATCTAGCCCTGGCTGGCATAGCTCAGTGGATTGAGCGCGGGCTGCGAACCAAAGTGTCACAGGTTCAATTCCCAGTCAGGGTACATGCCTGGATTGCAGGCCATGGCCCCCAGCAACTGCACATTGATGTTTCTCTCTCTCTCTCTTTCTCCCTCCCTTCCCTCTCTAAAAATAAATAAATAAAGTATTTTAAAAAAAGAAATAAATAAAATCTTTTAAAAATAAAGTTTATTCCTAGGTATTTTATTAATTCGGATGGTATTGTAAATAGGATTGCTTCCCTCATTTCCTTTCTGAGATTGTTCATTGCAGGTGGGTAGAAATACAACTGATTTCTGCATGTTGTTTCTGTAATCCGCGACCTTGCTGAGTTTCTTGGCTCTAGGGGCTTTCTTGAGGATATCCTATACACAGAATCATGTTGTCTGTGAAATACGGATGTTTTTACTTCTATTACAACTTGACTTCTTTTTATTTCTTTTTCTTTTTGAGTAGCTCTGACTAGAACTTCCAGTGCAATGTTTAAATACCAGTGGTGAAATCGGGTGGTGAAATAATTGCGCAGTTATTTTTTTCTTACACAATTATTTTTGTTCCATAATGACAAAATCCATTTATATCTTAGATGGTTTGGCGTTTCAGGCAACTTGACATGATGGGTCCGGGTACTGCCCTTTGGGAGGGTTAAGGGAGAGGGCCAGCAGAGTCAAGCCCTGGTGGGCAAAAACTGTGTGTGTGGGGAGGGGTGAGGCTTCTAGCTTCTCCTCTGAGTCTTATTTTTATTCAGCCCTTAAATGACTTTATATTCATTATCTCATGGTATTACCTTCATTAACAGAGAGGAAAGCCAATTTCAAGGAAGTTAACTGAAGATCAGAGTTAAATGATTTGCCTAAGTTAGAGAACTAATTCAGTGACAAAGCTGGTCTGCTAGGGTTGTACTAACGCGCGGTTCGGCTGCACAGGAAGACAATGAAAATTGAAGTGTGTAGTAAAGGTGACAGCTAAAAACCAGACTGGAGAGCAATCGCAGCCTGTTTCACATTCACTACGTCTGGCCCACATCCCATTCCATCACACCGCATCTTTCTCCCCCAGTACGGCTCCTTTAAGGCTTTGCCCAGGGCACAAACCTTCCATTGGCTCTGCATACCGGTCTCAAGTCACACGAGGGAAGCAGCCAATCAGCGCGACTCGTTTTCGCCCAGCCTGCTCGTGCCAGATCGCGTGGTCTCTGACCCTCTCGCAGAATGCCGGGAATTGTAGTCTAGCGAACTATTTCTTATCATACTGAAAGAAGATCGAAAACTACTAGATCCAGAGAGCTAAGCGCGGGATAGGTATACGTTTAGTTGCTACCCCGCCAACGATCCCCAGCAAAGAATCCGCATCCCGCAACAGGTGAGAGTGTTTGTGTCCTGGGACAGGAGGGCGGTGTTAGAGACTTGACCTTAACTCTGGAGCAGTACTTTGAGGCACAGCATGCCCGGTCTGTTGTATCGGAACCCCACCATTTTTGGGGTCAGTGGGCCCGACTGGCTGACCCCGTGGATGTGCAGAAACTCCCGAGCTCTGTCGTGTGCTTTCCCTGCACCTTCCTGCCCCCCGCCCCAGTATACGTGAGCCAGGTTTGCTTTTCTACTTCGAATCCTCATCACTCGTCTAGTGTTGTTTCTCGGCTGTCTCCGCAGTCCCAGCGCTCCCTGTGGGGCTCGGGATGCCCAGTCTCATTGTCTCAGACGACTTGGTCGTAGCATCCAGGGGTTCCGATCCTCCACACCCTCCTCCCTGCTAACACAGCCTCCTCCCCACCTACTAGGGGAGACTTGGGTTCTAGACTTGGCGCTGCCACTGCCCATGTATCTTCCGACTTCCTAGAACCTCAGTTTGACCTCTGTGAAACAGAGTGATTTAAGGGCCCTTTCAGCCCCTATTCCCGAGGAACTACTTTGGATCCCTCTTGCTGTACTCCAGGATTAGGGAGAAGAAGCCAAGAAGGTAGCATTTCCAGAGGCTCCCTGGAGGAGGAGTTGATGGTTGAGGAACATAAAGTTAGGTGGCATTAAATTTTTGCCATTGTAAGTGTGATCAGTTGAGTGTCAGTCACCTAGCCATACTTTTTGCTCCTTGCATTCCCTTCTTTCTGTAAATGCCCAAACTCTTTCTAGAAGGGGATGGGACCAGATCTTGGAGGTGAAAGGTTGGGGGTGGTAGGGCTGACCTGGGGAGCTGCCACCAGGCATCTGCTTTTGGTGCTTGCCCTTGCAGGCAGGGCTGGGTGCCTCATCCCTATGCCACCCCTCCTCCCATGATGCCCCTGTCCCGCTGGCTGAGATCTGTGGGGGTCTTCTTGCAAGCAGCCCCCTGCTGGGTGCTGCGGGAGAGGTGGCTGGGTCCCCTACTGCGGCCCTCCCTGGTGCACCAGGGCTCAGTACTGGGGGCATGGCACAGTGCCCGCTGCTGGTGCCAAGCGTGGACAGAGGAGCCTCGGTGAGTGTGGGGGGCGAGGGGCCTTGGGGAGGGGAGCAGCTGATCAGATTTCTGACTTGTCCTCCCTCTTCTCAGAGTACTTCAGTCCTTCAGGATGAATGGAAACCAGAAATTGGATGTTGATGACCAAACAAGGCAGAGTTTCATCCAGCACTTCTCCAAGATCGTCAGGGTGCTGACAGAGGATGGCATGGGGCACCCGGAAATAGGAGATGCTATTGCCCGTCTCAAGGAGGTGAGGGATTTATGACCTGATGGAGTGAATCTTAGGTCACTCTGTGTATGTGTGGGATCCAGCATGGTTTTGGGGGGGGATTTTGACAGTTGGGGGGCAGGCTTTTACCTGAGTGACTAGGTCAGCTCTGGAGGGGCGTGTGTCTGAACAGGTACCTTTTATCAGCCCATCACTTCCACCTGTGATTCTGGGCAGCCATCCAAACTGCTTTGCATGGGTGGAGGCCCCTGAGGGTGGAGGCCTCTGAGGGTGGAGGCCTTGAGTCTGACAAATCTTGGGTTTTGCTGTGAAAGGAAATTAAGATGTCCCGAAATCATAAGGTGCTACCTTGGCAGGGACCGGGGAGGAAGGAGTTAAACTAGCGTATTGTCAGATATCTCTGTTCTGGGACAGAAATTATTGCTGGGATACTTAAGTCACCTAATTCTTTTATTCTTTTGGAGTATCTAGTAATTCTTTGATAAGTGCTGTCTCATTTATCTCAGAGGAACCAAGGAAAACAAGGAGGGTTTTTTTACCCTGGGATGGAGATGAAAAGGGAAGTCTTTCCAGGCAATTAGATCTGGCTGTCAGCAGGGCAGCGGAAGGCAGACTGAGCAGGAAGAGACACTGTGGAGGAGTGGGGTATGGGCACCCCAGCCCGTGTCCTCCTAGCTCTCCTCTGACCAGCCTGGGCCGGGGCTTGTCCTAGTGCCAGTGCTGGGGGAGGCTTTTCAGTTGTAGAGAGGTTGGACTGTGGGTGGGAGAAGGTGGCTGGGAAAGGAAGGATGGGTTGTGAGAGGAAGTCTAGGAGAGGTAGGGACCCAGCTGGAGCCTGAGGAGGGACCTGAGCGTGCTAGGCATCCTATAGCAGAGTTTTGGGGTGGTTCAGGCCTGGGAGCACTATTCAATTCCCTGAGGAGTACACTGCAGAGAGAGCCTGGGGGCTGGGGGGCTCTTCCATGTTCCAGAACTTGGGGGATATAACCAAGGGAATAGCAATTCCTTAGACTCCCTGGAAGAAAGGTCAGGGTTAAGGAGGGTTTTCAAGTTAGGTCATGGTGGGAAGTAGGAGAGGGCAAGAAGAAATCTCAGAGTAGCTGTTCTGCAGGCGCTGATACCCGGTTCCTCTGGCTTTGCCCCTCCAGGTCCTGGAGTACAACGCCCTTGGAGGCAAGTACCAGCGAGGCATGACTGTGCTGGTAACCTTGCAGGATCTGGTGGAACCGAGAAAGCTGGATGCGGACAATCTGCAGCAGGCCATGGCTGTGGGCTGGTGTGTGGAACTGGTGAGAGCGGGGGTGGGGCAGGAGGCGTTTGCTAGGGTAGGCGTGTCTTTGGTGGGGAGGGGAGGGAAACTCGCTTCTTGGTTATTTGTGTGCCTGTGCCTCCAGTGTGCCACAGCCAAATTTAGACAGTAAATTACTCCATGGATTGACAAATGTGGGGAACCTCTTTTGCAAACAGGAGCGTGTTTCGCCTATAGACTATGTGTGGGCCAGGGCCTTGGAACTGGGCACAGCGGTATTACCTCTGAGTAAAGTGACATAGTTCTTCCAGAGATTACGCTCAAGCAGAGGTTGAAAACTGGCATCCCGCTGAGAGGGTTTGAAAATATTTTAAAATTAAGTCTTCTGCCCTGGCTGGCATAGCTCAGTGGATTGAGCGGGGGCTGTGATCCAAGGTGTCGCAGGTTCGATTCCCAGTCAGGGTACATGCTTGGGTTGCAGGCCATGACCCCCAGCAACCGCACATTGATGTTTCTCTCTCTCTTTCTCCCTCCCTTCCCCCTCTAAAAATAAATAAATAAAATCTTTAAAAAATAATTCTTCTAAATTTACCAAAGAAGAAATTTTACATAAAACCCTAAATTTATGCCTTGGCCCATGTGGCTTGGTTGGTTGGAGCCTTGTCCCGTGCAACAAAAGGTTGTGAGTTCAACTCCCTGTTAGGGCACGTACCTAGGTTGAAGGTTTGGTCCCAGGTCAGAGCAGGTGGGTGCTGGGCAGGGTAGGGGCGTGAGAAACTATCGCTGTTTCTCTCACATTGATGCTTCTCGATCCCCAGCTTCCTCTCTAATAAATCAATAAATATATCCTCGGACAAGGATTAAAAAAAACACGGTATTTCTAACATCACTTGGACAATTGCTAGATCTGCGTCCACACTCCCTGTGGCAACAGCTGGCTGCAGTTGAACTGAGGTCACTTCCCTGAGATAGGGCGGGCGCTCCCGTGTGTGGGGCCGTCTCTGCTCTGTTGTGTGTCCCGTGTTTCCTTGGCCCTTGAAGGTGTATAGTTTGCAGGCCTGGTCTAAGGTTTCGCCAGCCAGACCAAGTCTGGGTTCTGGCAGAGCAGGTGGACCTATCTGTCCTGTGGGTGCTGAAATTCCAGTCAGGAGCTTTGGAGATAGGGCTGGAGATTGGGGTTTGCCTCCAAGGAGGTAAGGGGACAATGGCACCACTGAAGGATAGGGAATGGGGTGACAGGGTTTGTGTGCCTGTAGGGATCAGGAGCAGGCTGAGGAGTCCATACACTTGGAGGCAACAGGCGAGGAAGGGGGGAGGGGAGAGGGCGGGGCAGAGATTAGCAGAGCTGTGGGACCCTGGGAGGGTGAACCTGACGGCCAGCGGCTCACCCGTACAATCACTTGTTATTAACACTAGCTGTTCACCTGGGAGTGTTTCGTTTTTTTTTTTTAAACTTGGCTGAAATGCTCTCACTTCTCCTGATGCCAGCTGTCCACCATTATTCCTACTTGGGTGACTTCAGTTATCTGTCTTCTGCTTCTGTCTCATCTCCTTCAACCTCCTGTTTTTGTATTTCAGCATTTACTGTCTAGAAACAAGGACATTTACCTGTATAGCCACAATATTATTATCACATCTGCCTTAGTGTATTTGGGCTGCTGCCATACCAGAGATTGGATAGTTTATAAACAACAAATTTATTTCTCACAGCTCTGAAGGCTGGGAAGGCCGGAATCAAGGCGCCAGGGTGGTGGGGTGGGGGCCTGCTTCTGGGGCCGCAGCTGGTGCCCTCTGCTGTGTTCTCCAGTGGTGGGCGTGGCCAGGGAGCGCTGGGGAGGGTCTTCGTGAGGGCACTAATCCTGTTCATGAGGGCTCCATTCTCATGACCTAACCACCTCCCAACGGCCCACTTAAAAAAAAAAAGATTTTATCTATTTATTTTTAGAAAGAGGGGAAGGGAGGGAGAAAGAGAGAAACATCAGTGTGTGGTTGCCTCTCTCACACCGCCCCCTGGGGACCTGGCCCACAACGCAGACATGTGCCCTGACTGGGAATTGAACTAGCCACCCTTTGGTTTGCAGGCTTGCACTCAGTCCACTGAGCTACATCAGCCAGGGCTTTTAAAAAATATATATATTTTATTGATTATGCTATTATAGTTGTCCATTTTTTTCTCCTCGTTATTCTCCTCTGCACACCCCCTCACCAGCATTGCCCCCCCTTAGTTCATGTCCATGGGTCGTACATACAAGTTCTTTGGCTTCTCCATTTCCCATACTATTTTTGCCCTTCCCCTGTCCATTTTGTACCTACCATTTATGCTTCTTACTCTGTGTACCTTTTCCCCATTCTCCTCTCTCCCCCCCGCTGTCCTGTTTTAGTAGTTGTTTGCTTAGTTTTTGTTTCTGTTTTTTAGGTTCAGTTGTTGATAGTTCTGAGTTTGTTATTTTACTGTTCATATTTTTGATCATCTTCTTTTCATTAGATAAGTCCCTTTAACATTTCATATAATAAGGACTTGGTGATGATGAACTCCTTTATCTGGGAAGCAGTTTATCTGCCCTTCCATTCTAAATGAAAGCTTTGCTGGATAGACTAATCTTGGATGTAGATCCTTGCCTTTCATGACTTGGAATACTTCTTTCCAGCCCCTCCTTGCCTGTAAGGTCTCTTTTGAGAAATCAGCTGACAGCGCAGACATGTCAGCTGATTTCCCCAAAGGCCCACTTGCTAATACCATTATCTTTGAGGGTTAGGATTTTAACATACAAATTTGGGGGGGTATACAGCCAGACCACAGTAACATCTAAGATATTTAACATTGATAGTATACAATATGGTAGTATGTTATACTATATAATATTATATAATGTATGAATATATTTTTATAATGTTGTATATACTATATTATGTAATCTTATATCTAATGTATAGTTCATATTTAAATATTCCTAATGCTCCCCAAAATGTATATTATAAGTAGTTTTTTTTTAACATTTAGGATCCAGTCAAGATGTATTGTACTTGGTAGTCATTCTTCAGTCTTCATCTAGAATAACCTCTCCATGGTAGCTGACTTTTTAAGCCTAGGTCAGTTGTTCGGTGGAGTGGCTGACAGTCCAGTCTGGGTTTGTCTGATTATTTCCTCATGATTCCAGTCAGGCCGAACATTTGCTAAGAATGCTACATGGGTAATGTAGTCTGTTTTCCATTGTTTCCCATGACAGCGCACTCTAGGGAAAACTACTAAAAAACAAAAAACAACCCAATATGCAGTGCCCCCCTGTAGATTTCTCATTTAAGTGATCTGGGGTAGGACTCCAGTGCTGGCATTTTTTAAAGTGGCCTGCTACACAGAAAGCTCTGTTGCGTGCGCCTGGGCTGGTGTGGCTCAGTTGATTGAGCGCCAGCCTGTGTGTGAATCAGAGGGTTGTTGGTTTGATTCCCAGTCAGGACTGGGTTGCAGGCCAGGTCCCCAGTGCGGGGTATGTGAGAGACAATCACACATTGGTGTTTTTCTCCCTCTCTCCCTCCCTTATCCTCTTTCTAAAAATAAATAAATAAATAAAACCTTAGAAAAAAAAGAAAGCTCCCTTGCTTCCAAATCATGGCTGGGGATGGGGGTGGGGTGGGGGCAGAGGAGATTGAGGGAGTCCAGTGTCAAGGCCCTTGGGAGTGGTGCTGGTTGAAACTGGATGGACCTTTCAGTCACTCTTGGGAGAGACAGAGGCTGCCGGCTTCCAGTGAACCATGCCACTCCAAATAAACACAATGTAAATAAAATAATGTGCCTCCAATGCGGAAAGCCACCCCTGGGGGGGGTCAGAGGTGAAGGTGGAGATGGATGCCTCCTTCCCCAAGGACTCGGCCCAGAGGGAGAGTGGCGAGTGCCAGGGCCGTTTTCGCACTGCCCACACCTAGGCGGGCGGCTGCCATGGGTGCTCCCCCGCCCCCCAGCAGTGCAGACCCACCAGAGCTAGACACGGACCAGGGTGGGCAGGCCTTGGAAAACCACACCTTGGAAGACTGTTTTAAGAACTAGAAGGTGTAGCCTGACAGCAAGAAGTGCCATGGGGAGTATTATAGTGTTTCATTTTTTTATGTTCAAGTGGCTAGCACTCAGAAGAGTTAGCTATTTGCTGACATTTAAGTTTTTAAAGATGTTCAGGACTCATGGGCGCACATTCCCAGGAGTCTGGCTTCAGTTCTGCCCCTCTACCTGCACCCCCGAGAGCTCCCTGAGGCGGAGCTCCGTTTCTGGTCGTTGGAGTGTGTGTGCGGTGTCCGGGGATGACGCGGGAATAGTCTTCTTCCAGAAGTCACACGCGCGAAGCCGAGTTACATGAGGTCATCGGCTTTAAGTGCTCGCCAAAGGTTTGGGGAAGAGCAGCATGCAGGGTGTCAGGTGTTTTATCACCCCCCCCCGCCCCCCCCCTGCCCCCGGTGCGGGGGCTGTCTGGGGCTGCTTGTCGGGAGAGGTCAGTGATCTGCTGTGGTCTCTTACTCTGAAAACGAGAGTGCTTCAGTCCCATTGTATAGCCAGGAAGCCTGAGCCAAAGTAGTCATGGAACTTGCCAGAGCCTCATGGCGCAGAACAGAGCCTCGGCCCCGGCCTCCTGGCCTGCCCTCTTAGCTCGTGGTGCTTCTCAAGCTGCTCTGGTGCTGTTGGGAGGGAGCCCTGGGGTCTTACTCCACTCTTCCTCTTCCTCCCAGCTCCAAGCTTTCTTCCTGGTGTCAGATGACATTATGGATTCATCCCTCACCCGACGGGGGCAGATCTGCTGGTATCAGAAGGTAAAGTGGGCATGAGAACAGGCCACAGGGAGGTGGTTGTACAGAGCCTACTGAGGTGTTCAGAGTGACAGGTTCTTGGTATGAGTCTAAGATGGAGACTGAGTGCTTGTTTTTCTGCATTCCCCTGACAGCCAGGCATCGGTTTGGATGCCATCAATGATGCATTTCTTCTGGAAGCGTGTATCTACCGACTGCTGAAGGTCTACTGCCGGGAGCAGCCCTATTACCTGAACCTGATCGAGCTTTTCCTGCAGGTGTGCTGCAGACCAGGCTCACTGCCCAGCGTCGGGCTCTATAGGACAGCCTAATCCAGCTGGTTTTAGGACATAGGAGATGCCTAGGTTTGCCTGGAAGAGGAAGAAGGCGAGGGAGTTGGGAAGGGTGGTGGTAATGGTAAGGAGGATTCTCCGTCCCTGTGTGATGGAGGAGTGATAAGGACTGTGTGTTTGCAAACGTGGGCCTTGAGTGTTGGGGTCCCTCTCCCTCCTGCTTCCTTTCTGACTCTATACAGTTGTTAACTGGTATGGAACATGGGTCTCAGGATTTCAGGGTTCCCTAGTCCTGGGGAGAGCCCAGCTTCATGGACCATCTTCCTCCTCAGAGTTCCTATCAGACTGAGATTGGACAGACCCTGGATCTCATCACCACCCCGCAAGGCAGCGTGGACCTTGGTCGATACACTGAAAAGAGGTGAGGGACAGTGGGAACCACACCTGCACAGTGAGGGGTGCTGCAGGTGGGCTCTGCCTTTCTGAGGAGTTTATCTTCTCCCCACTACTTAGGTACAAATCTATCGTCAAGTATAAGACAACTTTCTACTCCTTCTACCTTCCTGTAGCTGCTGCCATGTATATGGTGAGTGAGCCCCCCTACCCCGACCAAGCTGCCCACTAATGTGGGCTTTTGGACATTCTGGTGCCCCCACTTAATGGCTGTGTGACCTTGGGCAAGTTACATATTCTCTCAGAGTCAGTTTCCTTACCTGCAAGATGAGGATAAAGTCCCCACCTCAGCCCTGACCAGTGTGGCTCAGTTGGTTGGGTGTTGTCCCATAAAGCAAAAGGTCACGGGTTCGATTCCCACTCAGAGTACATGCCTGGGCCGCAGGTGCGGTCCCTGGTGGTAGGTGTGTACCGGAGGCAACCCATCAATGTATCTCGCTTTCTGGTGTTTCTCACCCTCTTTTCTCCCCTTTCCCTCTCTCTAAAATTAAAATCTGAAAAAAAAAAAATCCCACCTCACAAGATTGTTGTAAAAATTAAGTGAAGCAAGTGATGGGGCAGTGCCTGGCCTGTCGGAGAGGAACAAGAAGTTCTCTATCCGAGTGTGGGGAGGCGTGATTCAGGCTAAGGAGATGGGCAGTGAGTGGGCGTGACCGCCTGTCCTGACCTCGCTTCTCCAAGTTTTCCTTTTCATCCTGAAAGAAGTTGGAAATGGCACAAAGATGATGAAGGAGGATCAGTAACCCATGGACTGAGGGCCTCTAGAGTGGATTACTCTCTGCTTGCAGGCCGGCCCAGCTAAGATTAAGTGGGACGGAGGTTGGACCTGTCAGTCAGGCCTTCCTGGATCAGGGAGGCCACGGACGTCTGAAAGGGGAGCAGAGAACATTTGGGGGCTGCACTGGGGCAAGGGCCCATGGGAGGAAGCAGCCAAGGATGATGTAGTTTCTGGCTCATTAACCCCCTTTTCACTGTAGGCGGGCATTGACGGGGAAAAGGAGCATGCCAGCGCCAAGAAGATCCTGCTGGAGATCGGGGAGCTCTTCCAGATTCAGGTAGGAAGGCTCGAGGCACTCTCGGAGTACAGGCTGCAACTTCATTTCCTGCCTAGCACCCTCTTCATTTCTCCTTTTCTCCTCCCCTGCCCAGGATGATTACCTTGACCTCTTTGGGGACTCCAGTGTGACGGGCAAGATTGGCACTGACATCCAGGATGGTAAATGCAGCTGGCTCGTGGTTCAGTGTCTTCAACGGGCCTCTCCGGAACAGCGCCAGATCTTGCAGGTGCCCGAGAGGACTGAGGGTCCCTGAGCTGATAAGAAAGGGGGTAGGGCAGTGGTTTTCAAGTGGGGGCAGTTTGGTACCCTGGGGACATTTGACAACAGCTGCAGACATTTTTGGTTGTCATCACTGGTGTGTGCACGTGTGCTGCAGGTATCTCTGGTGGGGAGAGGCCAGGAGTGCCGCAGACATCTTACAGTGCACACGGCAGTTTCCTGCAACAAAGAATTGCCTGGCCACAGACTTCCACGGCCCCGGGGCAGAGGAAGCTGAGGGCTGAGCCTCTGTCTGAGCATTTGGGATGGGGAAGGGGAAGTTCAATATCTTCAACAATCTTACTCATTCAAGAGACACTTGAAATTGAAGGCAGGAGTCAAGTGAACGGCATTGCAGATGTTCTGGAGTATATGGGTGAGGGGTATGGAGGGGACCTGGAGGTGCTGGGGGAACGTGAAGCCTGTTTACTTGCTTCCATTCTCTTCCAGGAGAATTATGGAGAGAAGGAGGCTGAGAAGGTGGCCCGGGTGAAGGCGCTATATGAAGAGCTGAACCTGCAGGCCGTGTTCACCCAGTACGAAGAAGACAGTTACAGCCGCCTGATGGGTCTCATTGAGCAGCACTCACCGCCCCTGCCCCCAGCCATCTTCCTGAGGCTGGCACAGAAGATATACAAGCGGAAAAAGTGACCTAGAGACTACCAGGGTGGGGGGGGGCAGGTTCTCAATAAATTATAGTAAAACCTTTCTTAATGCCATCTATAGGTGCTATATACTGCAACAAGTTTGCCATAGGCTAATTTATATAGACAAGAGTTAGTATCCTGTGGCCTATTTCTGGTTACAAAAACGTCACCCAACACTTCTGATATTAAATAAACACTGAAATAAATGTGAGCCACACACACACACTGAAGGAATGAATTTAAGGGCAGGGGAGATTATTTTCCAACCCGCTCATTCCACTGAAGGGTTGCAGGTGACGGGGGCCTGTCTGAGCACGATGTGGGAGCCCGCCCTGGATAGAAGGCCCTTCTATCACAGGCCGCATCTCCCCCCCCCCCCCCAGAACATAGACACGGACTCTCACCTGCCCACCCTTAGGATGTGGGAAGACATCTGGGTCCTGGGGTGGGGGACCCAGACAAGGGGAGAACATGTAAGCGCCACACAGTGTACCCAGGTGGAATAGATTTTCTTTTCGCAAAACTATAGGGAAATAAGGGTGAATAAAATGATGTTATTCCTGGACCTGCTGTATTGCCTAACCTTGTGGTTATGCTCTTGAGTGTACCAGCCAGGGGTGCAGCTATGGCCAGAGTGGGCAGGGTTGACGGGATTGTTGCAGAGAAGCCAGGACTTGGGGGTCCTCACTGCTCAGATTCCTTAGGACCGAAAGCTTAGGCAAGACAAACCATCAGACTGGCCTGGCCTAGGTGGGTGGCAGGCAAGACGTCAAGTGCTGGGGGCAGGGTCTGAGCCACGCCCATGTGTGAAGGGGTGCGGCTGCGCAGAGCTAGCGGCTTGTCCTAGCGCCCCTCCCCTCCAGTCCTGTGGGGAGTGTGGGAGCTGCGGAGGTGCCTAACGCCTGCAGCGGTGGCAGGAGGACCCTGGTGAGGAGGGCTTGGTCTGGGGTGTGGATGAATGGGTCGGGGATGAGGGGTGGGGCTGGAGAGGGAGCACTAAAAATGAGCAGGGGTGGGGTGGTGGCTGGATGACAGACGAGTACGGAGAGAATGGACGGAAACGCTGGGTTTCCAGCAGGGTGGAGATGCACCCGGGCTGTACGCCGAAGCCCGGTGGGGTCTGTGTGGGTCGGCTTGACATGCAGACTACTGCTCTGTTTTATCCCCCACCCCCACGCTCGCCCCTTTCCTGAATTAACCGGCCAGATGCGCCTCCGATCCGCTTCCCATATCAGAGCATCTGGGCAGGGCCTCCCTTGGCCCCTTAATCTGAGAGTGATTGCGGCAGAGAGGACCCGGAGTCCATTCTGGGCCGCATCCATTTTCAAAGCCCCCGAACCTCCATGGGGATCCTGAGCGCAGCCGCATTCTCTGACCCTCCCCTCCTTATTCCCGGTGTGGGGGGGGGGGGTACATTCGACTCCACCTGCAAACACTGCAGAGGAAACTAATGGCCAGTAGACAGTCGTTTGCATCTCATCTGAATATTGTCTAAAACAGCCAGCGCCTCCCAGGCCTGCTCCCGCCTTCAGTCACCTCGGTGTCCTTTCCGCAGCCCGCACCTTCACTGGCTGGGTTTCACCATCCCTGTCTTCTAGGTCAGCATCTGCGGCTGTCAGGTAGGCGGATTTGAGAGGCCTTGTCTTCCTGATTCTTTAGAAGCCATCTCGTCGCCACTGGCACTATGCTGTCCCCTCAAAGAGCTTTACTCTGCAACCTCAACCACATCCACCTCCAGCATGTCTCTCTGGGCCTGCACTTGTCCCGCCGTCCTGAGCTACAGGAGGGGCCCTTGAGCACATCCTTTCCCCCAGGGGACACGGGGGGCAAGGAGAGCCGGGGACCCTGCAGCGGGACCCTGGTGGACGCTAATTCCAACAGCCCAGCTGTGCCCTGCAGATGCTGCCAGGAGCACGGGCCAGGTCTAGACAGCCGACAGGACCCAGCACAGGAGGAAGAGGGAGCTGCCTCTCCCTCGGACCCAGGCTGCTCCTCCTCTCTCAGTTCCTGCTCAGATCTTAGCCCTGATGAATCCCCCATCTCAGTCTACTTGCGGGACCTCCCTGGCGATGAAGATGTCCACCCTCAGACCAGCATCATCCCCCTGGAGCAGGACTCCCGTCTGCCCTCCACAGGCCCTGGTGCCTGCTCTCCTGATAGCTTCTGCTGTTCTCCTGATTCCTGCTCCGGAGCTTCCTCCCCACCCAGCCATGTTCTGGACTCCAACTGCAATGCCTTGACCACCTGCCAGGACCTCCCTTACCCTGGCTTAGAGGAAGAGGACACGTGTGGGGAGCAGGACCTCCCTACCTCCGAGGTCCCAGAGGCAGATGATGGGAAGATCGACGCTAGAAAAACCGAACCCAGTTGGAAAATCAACCCCATTTGGAAAATTGACACAGAGAAAACCGAAGCTGGCTGGAAAATCACTGACAACAATATCTCTGGTTGGAAAATCAATGGGAATACTAACTCTAGTTGGAAAACTGAATCTGGAAAATTCGACTCCGGCTGGAAAACCAACATAAGAATAACTGATTCCGGTTTGAAAACAGACGCAGGGAAAAGTGATGGGGGATGGAGAGGTGACGTCAGCGAGGAGCCGGTGCCCCACAGGACAATCACATCTTTCCATGAGCTGGCCCAGAAGCGCAAGCGGGGCCCGGGTCTGCCCCTCGTGCCGCAAGCCAAGAAAGACCGCAGTGACTGGCTTATAGTCTTCTCTCCTGACACCGAACAGCCCCCCACCGGGTCGCTGGGAGGCTCTCAGGCGGCGCCCCGGGAAGTTACCACCTTCAAGGAACTTCGGTCCCGAAGCCGGGCCCCGCCCCCACCAGTCCCGCCCCGTGATTCCCCCGCTGGCTGGGCCTTGGTCCCGCCCCGGCCCCCACCTCCACCCGTCCCTCCCCGGAGAAAAAAGAACCGACAGGGGCTGCAGCCCATAGCGGAGGCGCAACCCGAAGAGGGCAGGGCGGTCAGCCCCGTGGAGGGCGAAAAGGCCCCAGCGGCCAAAGAGCCGGAGCAGCCCGGCGCGCAGGCCGGCCTTGAGGGTAAGAGGCCATAATAGGAAGCAGGAGGCGGGCTGGGCTTCAGCCCTGCCTAAGCCGCCAAAGGTTACAACCCGTCCCCCTGTATCTCCCCTTCCCCCTTTCTGTGTCACCCATCCTCCCCATCCCCTTCTACCAGGGAGCGTTCCGGGAAAGGGAAACTGGGTGGGTCACTGGGTTACGGGACTAACTCTTTGCTCCCTCTTTCTCCCGCCCTTCCTTGCCTGGCTGCCGGTCCCGCTGCCCTTTCTCTCCGCACCTGCCCCGCCAATCCCGCCTGCAGCCCGTCCCCTGGTGCTCCCTCGGCCCCTGGTTTTCCGGTTCTCGGCCGACGGGCGCCCCCTGTTGGAGGGTGGGGGCACGGGCACAGCTGGGTCTCTGCTCCTGGCTCCTCTGGCGGGCTGGCCCGGAGCAGGGCTGCGGTTGCTGGGGGCGTCCAGTCCCTCAGAGGAGCAGCTGCTGCCTGTCCGCCTGTCCCCCGTGGGAGCCTATTCTCCTCCGGCTCGTGGGGCCCTGTCCTGCCTGGCCAGCCCCGAGCTGGCACTGCTGCTGTCCCCGCTCTTTCCCAGAAGTAGCACCTTCCCTGCCGCGGCTCCCCCACCCCGCCAGGTACCCGCCCCCCCGCTGCCACCGCCACCTCGTCCGCCGAAGGCCCCTCGCTGGACCAGGAGCCCACCGCTTCCACCCAGGCTACGTAAGACCGACCCAGGCCGGTCCCGCAGGCCACGCCCCAGGCGGGCCGCCCCGCCCACACCTCCTCTATAGTTTCTTCCGGGTTACCGGGCTCGGCCCCGCCCTTCGACCTGGGGCCTATTCCTAGCAAGTTCATTGGTTCTGGGGAGTCTGGCCCCGCTCCGGTACCCGGCCCGGGCGTAGTGGACCCAGACCTGACCATCTTCCCTACTCAGTTTAAGGGGGTCCTTAGCAAGTCCACTGTTAGGGCACTTGGGTCACAACCTCTTTGGAATTCCCTGGACAGTGCAGTTCGGGCCTGACCCCCATCCAGCTAGGGAACTCCGCAGGCTGAAGCTCCCCGACGCCCCTGGCCGAAGAGGTCCTGATCTCGCCTTCCTCACCAGCCCGACTCGTGTGGGCTGCGGGGACGCCTTCCGCTGATATGCTGGCGCGGGATCTGGGTTTCCCCTTTCCGGTGCCTTCCAGCCTCCCAGCCCTTGGGTCTCTTCTACCTCCCTCTTTCCTCCATTCTCGCTTGTCTGTCTTTCCATTGTTCCGGGCTCCCCACGTGCTCTCCCCGTCTTCGCGGGCAGGAGGAGGGCCCAGGGTGCCCCTTCTTCCCCTCGCTGTTATCTCTGGCCTTATAGGCCCCAGGCAGGCGGGCGGGAGGTGAGAGCGGCTGTTCCTGGCTGACTTCCGGGATCGAGGAGGTGGGAGCTGGGTCCTGAAGAAGGGAATTGAAATGGGGAAGGGGTGGAGAGGGGCGGCGGTGCTGAGATCTGAGCAGGATTTCACTCCAGGGTCCCAGGTCGAGCTGCCCTGTGCTGTACCCAGTCCTGTGTCCCCTCTCCCAAGACTCTTCAGGGGCTGGGGCGCTGTGGACCCGCAGGAGGTGATCCGTGAGGAAGCTTGGAGTCCTGGAGAAACCCTTGGTAAGTGTCACTGCATTCTTCCCTTCTCCCAGTCCGCAGTTCCTGGTCCTTTGCCGGTGTCCCCCGGGCCCAGCGACTGTGGATGGCAGAAGCCCAGAGTGGGACTGGCCAGCTGCAGGAGCAGAAAAAAGGTAGGACTCCTAACTCTGGCTTCAGAAGCAACTGCCCCTCACTTTGGTCCTCCCCTCTCAGGGTGGGATTGCAGAAACCCCTCTCTCCAAGTCCTCTGGGTGTGACTGCGGCGAACTAGGGCTTTGATGCCTCTTCCCTCCCCACCCCCTTCCCAGGTCTCCTGATAGCCGTCAGCGCCTCCGTGGATAAAATCATCTCGCACTTTGGGGCAGCCCGAAACTTGGTTCAGAAGGTGAAGTTGTCTCTGGGAGGGTGTTGGGGGAGAGCAGACGAATG